ATAAACACTCGGTGAATTTAATGCAAAATGTGCATTCTAGCCAAATCTATGGGCAAAATATACAATTATCTTTAAGTAAGATACGCGCAGTGTGTTTATCTCAAGGTAAACTGACTCACAACAATACACAAACAGATAAAAGACTAAAAATGCAACAAATAAATCTCTGTAACTCAATTTCTCTTCAGTTTCCCTCACAATAATAGACAATCTAGTTACGCAACTTTAAAAATCTCAACAAGCCAATTATTTCTTAAATAAAATCATATTATTTCTGAGAATATAAAATTTGAATTATGAGAGAAATATTATTCATGAATCTTAACATTTTTGCAACAATATTTCCGTCTAAACTTGAACCACTATTTTTCTAAAGTGATGAAAGCAAAATGAAGAATCTGAGAATGGTGATGGAAATTTACTATGCATGAAAGCGCTGAAATAAAGCCACCCATGCTAACATGACAAGCAAATATATTCTGTAACACATCCACATCATGGCAAATTCAATAAAATTGTTTGAATATCAAATAAAACATTGTAAAATCACGTAGTAAATGCGCAAAGTAGTGGAATCCAGGTCAAAGACACATAATTCCTATCTGGTCGAGGTTGAAGTCGTTTGCCCGACTTTTGGCGGAGTGCGTGCCCGCCTCGTATAACCGTCAAAGTCGCGACGCACACAAGAAAAGGCGTCGCGTTTCGCGTGTGCATAATATCGGAAAATCAATGAAGGCCACACAAACCAGCCGCGGTTAACTTTCTTTGACTGAATCCCTAGTTTTCACAACGACGCATGGGTATTAAAGTAATGACGCATAATTACATGCGGCATAATCGTATGATTAATTTATTTCGATTTACTTTCCCAGCCTGAGAAACTAATTCGATTTGTTTCGTACGAGTATGTATGAAAAATATTGTTATAAACGCACACGCGGCGTTTTTGTTTTGTGTTTGCGTCCGTGCAAGGGAAATGTTTATAAATCACTAGCTTAACGACTTCGTCGACAATGCTTTGACACAGTGACGCTCGGAGGGTTTTTCGGAGATGGAGACGTTATTTTTTCGCTGCGGGCGATATTTGTCGGTGGAAATGTGAAGGCGAAGCATTTTCGGGATAATTTATTGAATGGAAATGGGATGTTTGGGATTTTGTACAAAGTATTCAGTTTTTTCTTGTGGGAAATAAAGATTTTTTGAAATTTAAAAAAAACTAAATGAGTGAGTTATTTTGCAGAAAAAATGCAATTTCAATGGAAAATTGTCAACTTCATTAACATCCAAAGAAGCATAGCAGGCGTAAATGTGAACGCTCATTATGGCAGCAAGAAGACGCGCAATGAAAGGCAAATAGGGCGGCGGCAGGCTGGTGAAAACGTCATATCGTTCAACGCGCGCTGATTCTGATTAATCTCTTGTACGAGTGACACGAGCTTTTATGTCTCTTGCGTCGAGGTGGAAGACGTGATAATTTTTTTCTTGTGCGTGCTATGAGGAGTGTTTCATTTACACATTAATCACTCATTTAAATATTCAAAGCATATCTCTCATAGAAAATGAATTTAATGTGAGATTTCAATATTTCCACGCATTTTTTACAAAATACAAAAAAAAAGTTTTGAAAATTACAAATCCTGTTATTTCCGTTGTTGAATATCCAGTATGGCTTTGTAGGATAATTCCTAGCAGGACAATTCGAGCAGTATGTATGTGTGTTTGCAGCTATTTTGTTTATTTCGAGCGTCTTGGCGGTGGAGCAGCGTAAGTTGGAATCGCTCCTCAGGGAAATTTCAAACTAGAGCGCTTCAGACACACCACGCGCAGGACGTCTTTTCGTACACGCCCGCCAAAATCCATTTAAAGTTTAAGTAAATCATGATTTGCCTTTTCACCATATCTCCGAGTGGTGCTTTGATGACAGAAATAAATTTAAATTCTACTTGACGCTTCGAATTCTATTTCTTTTCTACATAGATATCACGATAAATCACGTTTAGTGTAATAAATTATAGTGCGTTGTAATTAATTACACCGGATATTCAATATAAATTACAATTATAATTTCGGTGTCACAATGTGCTGGACCAGCAAGCGCGTTGACCTACATTCCGGATTCTATCATTAAGTCATCACGGATTAACTCAAGTGAGTCCAATTAACTACAAGCCCCACGTCTTAGCATATTTACATGTGAAAGGATCCAGCCAGGACAACACAGAAAGTCACTTCAACTTCGCGCCCTGAAGTTAAGTGTCGCTAGGTTGTTTGTAGTTTGGTTTGTGATTGTTAGTCTTGTTTCAAGTATTTTACTCGTTATCCTTAAGCATCCCCAACAATGTAAAATACAAAATTTTGTATTTTGTAGTTTCGATGTAAAAATAAATGGATATTGATCGACACACCTTTAAATGGGATGTTTTTATACGCGTCCTTGACTCCTTGAGCTTTTGTTTGCTTTTAAAAATATCTGCGTTTTCCATTGATATGTAAACACGTTTGGTGGCGCGTCCCGAAACTTACGGTGTTATCCTTTTTGGACGGGGGCAGTCAAAGCGCCTAATCTATCAACCCGAACAATAAGCGAGTGTATCGATTAGGTCGGACGGAGTTTCGACGCTAATAGATTGGAACATATTCATTTTCCTCGACGCACGAAAATTCTATTCTTAAAGAATATGTTGGCGTGTGTGTTGTATCGATCGCGACAGTTTAATTAATTTTTTTCACTGATTATATTATTCAACAAGCACAAAATTTAGTTTTTGAAAACTAAATGATAAAAAAACTTAGTTAAATGTATTTTTTTAGTTGCAGAATTAATTACCGGAGATACTAATTGCGTTGAATGGTATTTCCACGCGGAAACATTTCCCGAAACTCCTTAAAAATTTACGTATGTTATTTAAAAAGTGTGGAAGTCAAAACAGCACTGAAACTGAAAGCTCACAGAGAGAAAAAAACGCAACACAGTCTGGCACTTAATATACGAAACATTGATTTTTCCATTTTCCTACGTTTTCCACCGCAGAAAGCAGAATGTGGCATGTGGAAATTAGACGCGCGCGCGCGTACACTACGTGTTTCGCTTTTATACTTTCATTTGATAAACATTTACTTTTTATGTGAAAAGCTCTTTATGTTGGACGCTTTTCCACTTTTTCCGCCCCGTGGAAATTTATTATGCTGTGTAATTGCCTGCATTATAAATGCACGCGTTCATATACATATTTATTTTTTTAGGTTTTTGACGAATCTGCTTCTGAAAAACAAAAAGTTAAGTGAAATTTATCGTAAATTTCTTTGATTTGCCAGTTTTCGTAAAGTTTCTTCTTTTTTATTTGACAGTTTGGCATGTGGAAACATCTCCAATACGAGCAATAATTCACGGCAGGACGACCTGGCCTTTTGGCATCGTGGAAAATTGGTGAAAATGCGGCGATAGCCATGCGAAACACGTCGGCAAACAGCGATCGATCGCTAGCGAGAAATGCATAATACGCACATCCTTAAAAGGATACTTGCCAACTGTGTTATCCTTGGTCTTATCCACTGACACGATAAGAATTTGATATTAATGTATCTGCGATAGATACGCGTTATTTTTTTCTTCTTGCATTAAAAGGAGAAACGGAATGGTACAAAACAGGATACAGGTAAATATCCTTCCACTTTCGCCGACGCAGTCGAAAGTTGTGTGAAATCGTAAAAAATAAAACGCGCACGCCCCTCGGATGTGTCGGAATGTGCACATTTCGGGAAGGATAACACACCAGGATAACAACACAGAGGGTCTCTACCTATGTCTCTGCGAACACTTGCGTTGAGCATCCGAACGGAGAAAAATTCTATTGGATCTGAAACGAAACCGGTCGAATGCAGGGTGAATAAAGGATAAAGAAGAAAAGTTCGCGCGCTATGACGGCACAAAGGACGAACCAAAACAGAATTGAAAACGGCATCAAAAGACAAAAGTTTTAAATAAAAGAAAATACTCGAAGGAGTTTACAAGTAGGGAAATTGAACGGATATAAAAGGACATCCAAGGGATGTGGAAATATTTATGCAGATGTTAACGCTATCTTCTTAAATTTATAAAAAAAATATTTTTTTTTTATTTCTTAAAAAATTTTGAATAAATATTGAGAAAGCAATGAAAACTAACTTTGTTATTGAATAAATGTTTTGCCTCCATACAAACATTAATATTTAATGTTGTCAAAACCGGAAACTATGGAAACTAAGAAGTTTAACCCGCTGGCGACGACACAAACAACAAACAAGTTCAACAATCAATACATAAATGATACTTATACGTTATACAATGGATTATATCACCAAGCGATTCTTGGTATTTCAAAAATACGTTGATACAACTTTTATCATGTGCATTACGCAAATTGGATTGCAAAATATTTTCTACACAAGATATATTCATCTATTGTCCTTATATGATCCTTTGATTATCCTGTTTAATACTCGGCCTACTTCCGATGACAATATGCATGTTTCCCATGTGAATGTTTTGCTTTTGGACCGATGGAGTAACCGTCGCTTTGAATATTTTATCAAAAAGCTCGGCCGGCGTGCGCGGCGTCGCGACGCGCCTCGCCGTGCCGCAACATACGAAAACTTTCAGTGCCGGGCTTCGACGGGCGTTATTTTTAGCCGACGGCGACTTTGCTTCAATTTATTGACTTTTCACGATCATATCAGAACACCACATTCTCATCGACACATACTTCGGGTAACTTGACGAGAGTCCATCAAGCGATAGTTTATGGTAATGCGAATGCAGTTCGTATCAGACGAGCGCAATTCATTGCAAAAACGTGGCGTGGATTCACCACTTGATTATTTTTAGTTTTCACTCAGCTCGATTTAATTTTTGCTCAGCGAAACCACTGCTAGGTTGTGACCTAGGTGTTGGTTAATAATAAACACCAGCTTATTTATAAAAAAATGAAATTAAACAAGAAATGACTTAAATTAAGGCTTACTTTTTGAATTGTTTGATGTCTATGTTTCCAGGATGAATTGAACACTCAAACCAAACACCTTAACCAAAGTCTCATCTAGTTCGACACTTCCCAATAACTTTCCTGGATTTGTTGATGTTTGCTACTTCATTTTGTTAAACTTTCTGGTCTTGTTTTTAATAGCGCAACGCGTTTTTTGCCATTTGTCCGCGCAGGATGTGCTTGCCGGAAAGGAGCGCAGGCCGAACTAGGAAGTGCCCACCGCAGGAACACCGAACGCATACTGCGGACTATACGGTCGCACCACCCCCACCGCCTTTGTCGTTGCCGCCTCCGTTATCCTTCGACCATGGCGACGGCGCTGGCGCACTGTATTATGCGCTATGGTTGCATAGCAACATTCGTGGTAACTGTATTTATCAAATTATTTCATAAATTTCATTAGCAAATACAGTCATATGATAAAAAATTTAATTGGAAAAGATTTATGTCCAATTTTTATAAACTTTAAAATTAAAATATTTTAAAAATTTTATTTTTTGATAAAAATGAAGTTTGACAGAATTTTTTAATGAATCAGGAAAACTTTTGCATATTTCTTTGAGGAAATCTGATTTACGAGCAGTTAAGTTAAGTAGACTTAACAGCTCGACGTTTTCCCTCTCCTAATGACCGACCCGCAGGCTGGCAGATACATAGTTGCCCGCCGGTTGTAACGTATTAATCGCTGCTGAACGTCATGAATATTTAAATTAATGCAACGCGCGCACTCGCCGCCGCAGGGCAGCAGTCGTCCGTTATTCGAGTATTCAGTATTCAAATATGCAATTTGCACGAGCCGTAAATAAGCAACGATGACACCGACTCGGCAAAGTCGGCAAGAAATTGCGCCATGTTGCACCAGACTATTAATTCACAAACGCTGCAAAATTTTTCAAGAAAAAAGACACATCTTACGATATGTAAACAACTATATTATAATTGCAAAAATAAAAAACCGCGTGTGTTTACGAATTTCAATTCGTACTAAGTGCCTCGAATGTAAAAATAAACATGCTAAATTTAGATGTGGTGATGTCGCCGACGACGGCCTAGACGTTTCACGTTCATATGATGTCACAATAGTCGCGTGTAGCGCTAATGCCAAGAGCAATTAATCCTCGCGAAATTGAAACCATTTCCGATATTAATTGCTTTCCGGTGCATCATAATAGCAGCATTAGTTTCATTTTGATTTATTGTGACTATTTTAATAAAAAAATATTTTTAATCCCGCAACCATTTATTTGCAAAGTGAATTATTACAAATTTTAGTTAAATAATTATTTGACAGTGACATGCTCATTGATATAATCAATGGTTTTCTCTGCATGTAGCACTGATAAATGATCTCCTGAAGAGACGAAAATATTGGGCATCAATTCGAATATTTTCTTCAATCCACAATCATCGAATTTACTGCTATTGGTGGGTCGAATCAGGAAACATTTACCAATTAGTTTATTTGTTGTTGATTCTTTATATTCGATGATTTGGTCGATTAGACGTTTGACTCCGTTGAGGCTGATTTTCAGAGAGGATTTGTTTTCCTCTGTTTCTTTGTAGGTTTTTAGAGCGGCGTCAACTCGATTGTTCCAGGATGGCAAAGAGTTAAGACTCTTCAAGAACTAAGAGAAAAATATTTTTTGATAAAAATTAATTAGAATTAAATTAACATTATTAATATTTACAGCAGTATCGTTGATCATTAAGATTCTATTCAGGAGTTCAATTTCGCCTGTGGCGCCCTCTCCGATGCACTTCAGAGAAGATTGAATTGTATCTGGAGCTGCATCTAGAAGAGTCACCTGGGTGTTTGCATAGGATTGTAGAATACGGGCGATTTCAATTGCCAATGGTCCTCCCCATGAAATACCAATGATATTGTACGGTCCACGTTTGTATAGGTTTCGTATTTTCTACACAAAAATAAAATTTAAGATTTTTTCAAAATTAAAATTTAAAGATAACTAACCTGAGCATAAGACTTAGCAGCATCATTAATAGACATTGGAGTCTGTGGTAACGGTGCACAAAACACTGGATACAATAACTCCAAAGCAAACTCCCTAACAATTTTGGTCTTGGTAAAACCAGGGACAATAATAAGTGGTGGTAACTCCCTGATTTTCCTTGGACCTGAAGATGGCAGTTGGATCAACTCAGGTTGTTGCGGCAGATCAATGTAATCCTCAGTCAATTCAGTTCCACTGTTTGGTAACATCATAGACAATTCTAAAATTCAATAAAAAAAAAACACTTAATTGATAATTATTTACTAATAATTCTAAAACTTACTTTTATAAAGGGCTTGTACTGTATCATGGTTAATATCGCTCACTTGATCATTCTTCACATAAACACACCCGATTCTATAGGAAAGAATGTCATCCATCACACTGAGGACATCAGTAATATTCAACCCTTCATCCCACAAAATATTATAAGTTGGGAAACCAGCATCAATACGTCCTTCAGAAATACCACTGACTGAATGCAGATAGTTAATGAACAACGCTTTTGGAGCAGCTGTCCTCAGAGCTGATTCAATATATTGTATAGATTTAATATCACTCTGTCTTAAAACTTCTTTATTTGGTAAGATGTGTACCGCCTGGATTGCTCCAGCTTGATATAACTGAGCAATTAATTCAGCTGCGTTCTCCTTGGTTTGAATTTTATTTGGCAGAGTGTTAATATCAGCCCCAAAGTGGCTCTTTAGCAAATTCAATCTTCTTTGCACAGCGATATTCAAAGGTTTACTATTGGAATCGGTCACAACAAAGATTTTCCTTCCTCCTCTGAGGACTAACCATTCTACCAGGTCTATCCAAAGATCAGCAGCACCATTGTATACTAATTGGGTACCACGAGTGTCGCAGATGAATTGATTGTTCTTTTCAATGTTCAACTGACTCAGAACAAGATCCTGTGTTAATTTTATGATAATTTTTCCAATATTTCCAGGGGCGATTAAAGTATTGAGAATACCAGCAAAGTCTTGATGTTGGACCACTTTTCTATTCAATGGTCTAATCACATATTTATCTATTCCACGTTGGACTAAATCTCTAAGTTGGATTTTAAGTTCATCACGTGCGTCAAATATTTTCTCAGGGACGACACCCATGAAGCAAGTGTTTTTCAGGAAGATACTCATGCCCATGGTGTTATTCTTGGTTTTATCAATTTTACCAAGTTGGATGAGACGTCCGTAAGCTGCAAGACAACGAGCAGTAGCGTGGAACAAAGAATCTGTTACGGTGTTCAGGATAACCTGAGCTCCATTTCCACCGGTTGCTCCCAGTAATTGTAATTCAAATGTGGTATTTTCAGAAGACAAGATATTTCTATCTCTAAGCTACAGGGGAAATAAGAAATTAATCTTTGTATTATTAATTTTAAATTTTGGTAAAACATACGCTTGAAAATTGTTTCTTCAGGTAAGCTCTCTGGAAGTCAGTTGCTACTGTAGCAAAAACAGTACAGCCCATATTGGTTGCTATAGAAATAGCCGCTAAACCAATAGCGCTGCATCCGCCATGAATAAGGACAGTTTCTCCAGCTTCCAATTTACCACGTTGGATCAACGAATAATAAGCCTAAACATAACATATTTTTTTGTTTTTAAAAGTAAAAATAAATTTATTTTTATAATTACTGTAGCATATGCATGAGGAACAGTACACGCATCTTCGGATGACCAAGAATCAGGGACTCTCCATTTCAAAATACCATCCGGAACCAGATTACAGGTACTTTTGTCTAGATATGCCAAACCAATTGTTTTCTGACTCCCTTTGATCAAGCAATAGTCAATGTTTCCAAGTCCAACATTTTTGACATTCAAAGTTTCATCATTGGAGTTGATACCAATGCAGTCCAATTTACCATCGCCAAGGGAACCACTAAAACAAAGATGGTAACCATCAATTTATTATTTTTACAATTAAAGTATACCTTTGCGCAGTAGCTTTAAAATATAAACTGGAAATATTTAATATTAATATTAGTTAAATTAAATTTGTTATAAACATAAATATTTACCTTGTCAATTGCAAATCACTCTTCACATTGGTCTTAAAATCAATGGAGCATTGTGCAGAAGTACCAAGAATACCATTCTTCTGAATCAACAGCAATAAATTCTTTCTCAGAATGGTTTGGAAGTCAACAGTCTTCTTATCCAAATCAAAGAAGAATTTCAACTGTTTAAATTGTTCGTTACTTCTGATTTCGTCAATGAATGACACCGGACCTTCTGTTGGTGTGACCTGAGCACATAAGTAGACTGATTCATTGGGTTGGGCACTGGATAAAATAGTTTTCAATTCTGAAGACCATGCCAAGGATCCCTTAATCACATCTTTGGCTGTTAAAGTATCAGCTTTCACTTGGACAAATTTAATTGGCCGTTTTTCTGACTTTGTTACCAAAGAATAAGATTGATTGTTGACATTAAATACAGCTAGAGTCATCAAATCATTTCTTGCAGTTACTTTGGAACTTGATTTCACCAAAGCAAAAGCATCTGAAGTTAATAATGCATTTGCTGTTTCAGCATGTAAATCTCCATCAACGATTATCAGAATGGGTTCGGTTTGGTAAACAATCATAATCTTTGGGTCCTGAACTGAATTGATATTAGCACTCAATTGTTTGTACTTATCAGTAACGGATTTTATGAGATTGAAGTTGGATTTTTGATTCTGTAGAACTTCATAGATTAAAATGCTGCTTCCCATTGCCTCTTTGTAATTCTGAATTGTCAAATTCAAGCTGTAGTTAATCGCAGTTTCAAGATTATCACAATAACAACCATCCAGAGTGACCAAGTCAATTGCATCAAAAGATATTGGTTTTGATACTGTTGGTAGAATGGTTGTAGTGACATTGCAAAGTTGGATTCCAGGCATATCCAATACCCCAGTAGAATAATCATAAGACATTTTAACATCTGTTTCTGATTTTGGTAGTTTTGGAATGGAGATGTTTACACGTTCAATCACCATTGGAATGGTTATATTCTGATACTTTTCACCTTGCTTGAAGTAATTTTGTTGTAACATCATTTCTAAATATTCCTGCCATGTCATATTCCCTGGCACAGTAGAGACAGAACCTTCTTTTGCAAGTTTCAGGTTTTTAATCTTTCTGAATGTTCCTGTATATTTATGTCCACGATGGAGGAACTCGTTATACAAATCAGAAGCGTTTAATTCAACAACATCCTTTGTATCATCAATATCATAGGTTTTAACCATGAATTCATCAGTTGGTTGGGGAACAGTGATTTTTCCTGTACAGATAATTTCTTCACCGGATAAGATTTCAAATTCTCCACTACCTCGTTGTACCATTCCATAAAATGGAACAGAAGTAACTTTGGGAATAGTAATAACATTCCTAAACCGGATATTTTCAAAAATAGCTTCGTTAATTTCCACAGACCGACTTGCACTGAAGATATTCATCATAATAGTCAAATATGAAGATACTGGTAAAATAATACGATCATCCAATTGATGTCCGACACAGTATCTAAACTGTTCGGAAGCAATTGAAATTGGAACGTCTTTAACGCTAACCAGATAATTAAGTTTGTCTTCCAATCCAGTACGCCAGGTTTCTCCGTGTTCCCAGCGAATGAGAGGTGCAGCACAAGCTGTTCCACGACTCACGGGATACTCCACAGTTGGGAAGATATTACCAAGGTTCAGATCTATACCAGATAAATACATTTTACCAATGGCACTGAGAAGAAACTGAACACCATTTTTGGTTCCTCTCATGGTCAATGGAATATTTGTACAACCAGATTTGAATGATTTCTTGATGATGGCTTGCAGTAAACCATGAGGAGCTATTTCAATACACACAGCATCTTTGGGTACATGTTTAGATCCTTCTTCAAACAAGACCTGACCAAGAAGATTGTTAGTATGATATGTGGCTGAACACCATTTAGCATCCTCTCGATCCCATTGGGATTCTGGTACTGAAGTACTGATCCACTTTGAGCTCCTCGGTTTGGGGTCCGGAATGATCTTCTCGAGATATTTAAGTAAGAATGGTGCAGCTGGTTTGATGTATCTGCTATGGTAGGCAATGTTGGCTACATTAACCAATCTGGCAAATATTCCCTTATCAGTCAATTCCTTGACATATTTCTCCATGTCGGCTTTAGGTCCTGATAGGGTACAACTGGTTGCGCTGTTATGACAAGCAACTTCAATGGGTTCAGGGAGTTGGTTTTTGATTTGGTTGTAACCCAAACCAACAGCAGCCATCATGCCAGGGATCAATTCTGCATCTTGAGATGCCTTACCGCGGGAATATGCACACATCATTACTTGTTCAACTGTAAGGCAGCCATCAGCATAGGAACAACCTAACTCTCCTACTGAATGACCAATGATACCATCGGGAACTATGCCCAGGGCATTCAAGATATCTGTTAATGCAGTCTGGATTGCTGCAATACCAACAAAACTATGAAGGATTTTATCAAAGATAGTTGGGTCATCAGAGGTGATGATATGGATGAGGTCTAAACCAAATGGTGTTAATACATTGTGACACTTTTGAATGGTAGCAGCAAATATGGGTAGTTCCATTAATTGCTTGCCCATCATGTTCCACTGACTGCCCATACCAGAGTAGATAAACCAGGTCTGACGTTTGTTGCCAGGGAAGTATTCAGTCTCACGGACAATTTCTTCGTTACTATCCATGATGGAATAACCTTTGTATAAATGACCAGGGATGGTTTTGGAGAAGAAGTTTTGAACTAGGGCAATGTACTCTGGATCGTAAGGTTGCTTCTTGATCTGATGATGCAATAAAAGTAAATATTCTGAAACCTAATACTTTATGTTTACTTACATCATCGAAAACCTCTTTAATGCCTTCCTCGGTTCTGGTTGATGCTAGAACCAACCTAGGGATATCATCAACAATAGGTACCTTCTTCTTGACGTTCCTCTTCAATACACAATGAGCATATGATGAAGATAGACCTATACCATGAATTGCAGCGTAGTCACCATCCCATTCTGTGTTTTTATCCACTACTTTGAGGCGACCATCAATTAAACCTTTGATGTTGGGGTTTGGAGTCTTGTACTGGATTGTGGCGGGTATAACTCCAGTTTCAAAAGCGATGAGAACCTTTGCTAATGAGACAAAGTTGGCGCATGCTTCAGCATGACCTGAGTTGGTTTTAACAGAACCAATCATCAAAGGCTTCGTACGACCAGGGGAATAGACAGCATCGATGGCATTCAGTTCAATTTCATCAATCCTCTAAACATTAGATAACCATTTAAATGATTTTATAATTATGGATGTTTTGTTATGTTTATTACCTTTAATCCAGACCCATAACACTCCACGAAACCCACATCATCAGGCTTCACTTTACAGTTGTTTTTATAGAAGTTCTTAATGAATTCACTCATGCCATTCTGATCTACATCCAACAGCGTACCTTCACGATGTCCATTGTATTCTGTGGCTGTACCCATGATGGTTGCATAACTCCTTTTTGCTTCAGAAGCCCTCTGAATAACAATCGCAATCACACCATCAGATCTTGCATAACCAGTTGCTTCAGCATCAAAAGCCTTAGTTGACCCATCCGGGGACAACAAACCCATATCATTATACAACCATCCAATTTCTGAATTCAGGGCCAAGTTAACAGTACCCACAATGGCGGCATCACAATGACCATGCCTGACTGCATCATAACCCATTTGCAAAACTTCTATACCATTAATCCAATTCGAGTCATAGGAACAACTGGGGCCTTTGAGATTCAACCAGTAAGAAATGCGATTAGCCATCATTGCTCTAGAGTGACCAGTTACTCCAAAACCAGAAACGATTGATTCGTAGAAGAGGTTGTCGTTCTCTCCAATGGATGATCCCATGTAGACACCAACACGTTTACCACGGATTTCAGCAGGGTTCAATCCTGCGTCACAAAGGGCTTCACAGGTTCTTTCTAACATCAATCTCTGCATAGGATCCATGAAGGTTGCCTGCTGGCGATGGATACCAAAGAAAGCCGGGTCGAAAAATTCAATATCAGGGACCACTCCTAACTTGTTACTAATTCCACGTTCACCTGATCAAATAAAATTTAAAATAAGATCTTCTTCATTGGGTTAAACAAGGATATCTCACCTTCCTTCCAACGACTCTCCAGAAGACTCTCATTAGACATGAGATTCTTCTTAAACTCATCCAGTTGACGGGACTTTGGGAAGTACCCGCCAAGACCAGAGATGACCACATCGTCGACTTCCTTTAGAACTTTGGACATGATGCTGATGCTGATGCTGATGAAGGTAACAGAACACTAGCTGCCACGCTGACACAATGAGCTTGTTGGTCAAATTTGCTGGGATTTATATCGACGACTTTTGAGCTTGATTTACATTTGAATGCAATTTGAAGCAGGCGAGCATTAATATTTAATGGGTCAGCACCCGTCATGTTATCAAGGTCTTCATCAGCAGCTTTGGGGACATTTTTGCAGACAACAAAACAACCCAATTTTTAATTGCTTACACAATACAAACATTAATAAACAAACAATAAGTATGTTAATCAGAAATTAAAAATATAATATAGACAATATTGTTGTTTGGAAAAATATTTGAAATGTAGAGTGAAAAAATCAGTTTTCACTTATTATGAACTTACGTCAAATGACATTTGAACTTGGCCCGATGGACGACATGCAAATCAAGACAATGCACGATAATCACGATTAAAAAACACGTTCAGCACATATCTACATATCCACGATATTTAGGAATTCGTTTACATACGATTAGCAAAATTGAAAGTATTACTTAAGTATGTTACTCAGTAAAATTTATGTGAATGAAATTTTTGTTTCTAACAAAAAATTTCAACTAAAGTTAAATTTCTGAACAAAAAAAAATCCCTAAATAAATTTGATAGAAATCTAGTATTATCCTTAATTCTATTTTTAAGAAAACTGTATCACAGGATCAGAACGTAAGGAAAACTAAATTGAATACAAAGATTTTCATCTAGATGTCGCTGGAATCGTGAAAACCAAGTTTTCCAGCTGTTGCCCTCCGAGTATCCTGCGCAACAGGGTTTCGTTCGTCCTGTTCGACCGGCCGCTGATAGCGAATTGTTAGTCCTTCGCCTCGTCCTGCCGGCAGAAGCAACCAAAGCGCGCGACGCGAATTGCGATCGTTCGACATTTACCAAATCGTAGCGTGACATTTACCCCTCTTCAAAATAAAGTGATATTTTATTATTAGCCGTTTAAAATTTTTCCAAATATAAAAAAATAAAATATTTTCACATAATTTTGTTAATTATACGCTTAATAAATTGTTAAATAGTGGATTGCAAATTGTAACTTAAGGTGAGTGGGGATATATTGATCAAACAAAATAAATGGGCTAGATTTTGCGCATGGGGGATGATAAAATAATTTTTTCCTGATTTCCTCCTCCAGTGGTCTTTGAGACTTAAGAAAAATTAATTAATTAAAAGTTGACAAGTGTCAAGCTGCAGCGACGGCGGCGGCGAAAGCGTCACGTTACTTCCGCGAGCTTTTGAAGCTTTCGCATTCAGGCCAGAGGGTTGATATATGCACGACTAGGAAAATTTTGCGCCCATTCGCCTCGACGCGGTGTAATTAAATTTTCCTTGCTCTGCTCGTTACTCACTCGTTCTACTGAAACCACCACCAATGCCTACCATCGGCTAAAAGCTTAAAAGCTTACAACATGTGTGAAAACTAATAGTATTAAACAAAAAACAAAAAAGAAATAAACTCACACGATGCAAGGTTTAATAAAGTTTTAATTAAGATTAAATCAAATTAATTTTGATTTAAAGCTTGGAGAATTCAGAGGATTATTAATGAAGTTATGCGAAATAATTACAATCAACCACATCAAATTGTATTTACTGGCGATTAGTAATTAAGAGCTAACAGTAATATTAGTATAATATTAGCCGCAATAACCGCATACAAATTACTCTTTGAAACCCATTCCATTATTATTAACTTAAGTTTCTATTTGGATTAGTATTAAACTAAAATAATAACCAATTTAATTTAATTTAATTTACAAATTCGTAATGACAATATTTTCAATAAATAAATATATATTATGTTAAATCACAATGATTCCGTATTTGCTGTGTGCAATTTAGCTTGTTAACAAATTATCCTTTGATTCTGATGAATACGCCGCTATTTATAACTTCTTTTCTGTTCACTTTTTGTTTGTTTCCTTTCAATTGCTGCTGTAACATTCACTCAAAGCTTTTGTTCTCCATTTCAGCATTTCTTACTTTTTCTACATTCCGTCCTGCTTCCATACGTTTGCAACTTTTTTTTGTGCCGCTTGTCCTTTCAATATGTTTCACTAGTGGGTATTTCTGTCGACCCTCATTTTTCACATTTCACTTTCTCAAGCATTTTTTCCATTTTGTCCACGCGCATTTTCTCACAACTTCTTTTCAGATTTCCACCCTGTCGGCATCTTTGTGTGGGTGTCTGATACGTGTTAAGCTCTTCAGTCATTTTTTCGGAAAAGGATGCTAAAACCACATAGATAATTTACGCTTTGCAAACCTTTGAAATAAATGTTTTCAGTGTGTTTTAAACATGCTACAAAGTAGACGCTATTAGTTAACATAACCCTTGACTTTGAAAATGTTGTATTTTATGTTTAAATTGCAAAAAATTTAAAAAAATAAAAACGATGAATTTTTTTGTAATAATAAACATTTACTTGTCATCTCACTGAGTGATTCTGGCAGGCGATGCATGACCCGTGTTTTCAAGTTAATGTCCTCCGCGTCCCATTGGGTTTTGCGCTTGTCCTTTCCGGCAAATTGCAAAAGTTCAGTACGTGAGTGCGATGAGTCTCCAACACGCCACAAAAACGCCACAAAAGTTTTGTTGTCTCTTTAGTCCGTTACAGCATCGTCCGGCCCAATATGCCACCCCCAACTAGAGTGGACAATAAACGCGAAAGGACAAACATTCATCTGCCATTAACATAAATCCACATTACACAAATTAATTGAACTTTTTGCGCGGTCTTGCTCGGCTATAAGAAGCCCCATTCGCAATTTGATTTATGACCGGCGCGTAATTAATTGTGCTTGTAATTGTTTTCCGAGTGAATAAACATTGTAATAAAAGTATCTGTATGAAAGCACTCGCCGCAATATGAAATCGTAAATTCTCGAAAAACACACAACGACAGTTTTATTGCTCCCCAGCTGGCGGCGATACAAATTAAATTATTATACCGTCATTTAATAGGAAATATCGAAGCAGTGTAATACAATGAATATCAATGATTTCTCGTTTCAGGTGATTTTCCGTTATGGGAAAGGGGGACAAGCGAACGCCGCAGCGCGCTGAAAGCGGTGAGTAGACGAAAGCTCACATTAACCTAACTTGTCACGTAAAAGAGTTTTCTTTTATTTTTTGTCTGGCGTCTGTTTTTAATGTTTCGTGGAGTTATTCCGTAATGATGTTGTAGAAGCATCGGTACACAAAAATAAAGCGCCGTAGATTTTCGTTAGTGTCGATACTTCATCACAGTGCTTCGCTGCGGAAAAACGGAAGCAAACGAGCGCAATAATGATGTCCATAATGGAAAATTATTACCTCGGCTTTGAAAACCCATCAGGCGTTAGCCTCTTGCGGGACATTTAAAAATAATGAAAATTGATTGAATTCTTTTACAAAAACTAATTTACCAATAAACTACTCTTGGATAATTTTAATTTATTTCCGCTTTGTGCAATTTATGTCATTAAATAGTTTTAAAACGATGATGATAGTCACAAACAGAATATGTTACTATCCTCAGGGTGATTGAGTCGTCGGATATGTTGGATGGTTTGTGTGAGGGTCGAGGCCGTTCGAAATTACTTGTTTAGCTCAGACGCGCGGTAATCCTATCAAAGAAAACGAGCCGCGGAGAGCGGGCGAAAACCGACATGCAATTCCAATTCCTTCGTCTTTGCGAGCAATTCCCCGCTTGCGGTAAGCTGCAAACCAGCCTCCGCAGTCTATGTAGAACCAGTGCCCCACAATTCCACCCGCATCCTGATCAACTACTTGTGACATTAGTGTTACAACAAATGAAGGTGTTAATTTTTTCAGAAAGAAAATATTTAAATTTTTTGTGTTTTTTGCTGGAGCATTGTGAAATTTGTAGCTTCAAAGTGTAAAAACGCATAAAACGTGTATAAAAACGTGTGAAAAGCCTTGAAAGCCTCGCCGAAAAACATTTCCGAGGACGTAAACGACGAAATGGTGGCAAGCCACGCACCGTATATATGCAAATTGAAAAGAACGTGTTTCGCTTCCCGGCACGACACGCGGATGGCTGTCACACGCGGACGACTTTCTCGTATATTCTCACTTACCTATCTCAGCCAAAAGAGATATTTGAAAGCCGCCATATTCAGCCGGGAAATATCTACTGGATCCAAAATCTCTGCGCGGGATTTTCTATAAAATCACTACGTCTTCTAAACTCTGACATATTAGATATTTGTTAAAATAACAGTTTTATCATTTGTGTGAATGGCATATTCCGGTGCGCAAAGTTAGATAATAGTTGAGAGAATGTTGTCGGTTTGTTTGTACGCGCACGCGCCCGAAGTAAATTTATAGTTCTTTATTCCGCTATGCTCGCGCATAATATTTGCATAAACGCGTGTGCGCGCCCGACGGTTTTCCGTTTTCCGGCTCGCTGACGCTACCGCTGCAGCTTGATATTCCAATTTTGGCATTCAACAATTCAAATGTTCTTATCAGCAAGAGGAAGAAGACATGTTGGTTCCACACAGCGTAAAACGTCATCAACAGATATTCAACTTTGCGTAGAATTTAATTGAAATCAAAAATCAGAAAAAAATGTTTTCTTTCAAATAATTTCGAGTTTTTTTTTTTTGCTTTGGTGATGGTGAGGATTAGTCTGATCACATCTGACAGCGTCATATCGAGTTGATAAAAGCACCCTTGAGAATGAGGGGAGGAAAAACCATTTCACCTCAGGATCTTCCACGTTTTTCCAAGATGTCAATGTTGATATGCTTGGTGTAAAAGTTAAAAATATTTATTAAACGGAAAAATACTCATCAGCTCACTGGAACTGTGTCACACACAATAAACAATAAATTAAACAAACAATACGAAGAGATATGTTACACAATAATTACATATTAAACAAATATCACAGTAATGAAGTCATATTGTCACGGATTTTTGTTTCGTTACTAACTCTCTTCGTGGTGATAGCAAATAATCAAAAACTACAATAAAACGTAAAGAATTTCTTGATTATTTCTGTGAGTAGTACTGCAGAGCGATGTCTACAGCCGCCTTGGCGAAGTCACTATCGCACGGACTCTTATCCCAAAACGCCCCGGTGCACCCCAACTGCTCAAAGCAACTGTAGCTGATGTTCTGGTTGTTGCCCTGACAGCACGAGATGATTGCCCAAACGCATCTACTTGGTTGTGCTCTCGACGGTTGAGTTGGCGCTGGAGTAGGTCTTGGAATGCCTCCGAATTGAGTACCTCCTTGAGATGGTCGGAAATTGGGCACTTCAACCAAGTTGGGACGATTCTGCACAGGCCTCAAAGAGTTACCAACGCCTGTACCTGCATTGAGGTTAGGTCTAGTGTTGTTCTCACTACGATGAACTAATGGTGGGAATGTGGTTGTTCGGACCCCTGGACGTCTGGTACGTTTGGGTGGTGCTGGTGTTGTGCGAATTGGTGGTTCAATGTCCCAAATTGGGGCATCATCAAAATTATTGCGATTATCCAAGTTAATATTCCCATCATTGCCATGTGCACTGGAGACATCTTCATAGTCATCATCATCGAACCCAATCGTGGTTGACCTCGTTGGTGGTAGATAACCCTTTGGAGGGAGATAACTTTTCCTGGGATCACCTAATAAATCCGGTTGTATCGGCTGCGGTGGGAAATAAATCGGATGCTGTTGACCTTGTGCACCCCACACAGGGATGACATACGGCCTAGTCAGTTGATACACCGGGGGTTGCCAGACGGTGAACGTGCTATGGTAGTTCCTTCTCTTCCGTTCCTTCATCTTTTCAATTGACCTCTTTCTAATCATTTTTTTCTTGTGTTTGGGCGCTGGGACAATCTCAAAGAGTCCATGACCACAACCAACTTGCATCTCGCCAAGTTCATTGGTCTGGTGGTGCTGATGGTGATCGTGATCCTTTGATGCCGTATCGGCAATCAGTAATAGCTTAACTCGGTCGTTATCATGATTGCGATCGGGATTTGCATTTAATTCGGGCACGTTTGAGTGCGAGCGCGAATGATCTGTTGCTTCGCGGCGCGGGGATGACGGCGGCGTTGGCGGCGGTGGCGTGCCGTGACGCGCATCGTATTGATCGGGGGCAGCGTGAGCGACGCGCTCCGTCAGCACAGCCAACAGCAAGCAACCGGCAAACAGCAACAGCGTGTGATTCGACACCTTCATTCTGCAAAAAACAAAAAAAAAGAACATTTATTAACAATTACGTAACACGATATGAATTTATTAAATCCGGAATAATTTGAAACTTACATGATAATCAACAAGAATAACGCTTGAAAATTTTGAGCAAAAATTTTCAAACTTATTTTGTTGTCCTCACACTTCAAGTATCAGAGTAAAACTGACTTAAAATAAGCGAGAAGTTTATATTTATACTAACTTTGGGTACCGATTGTAAAATTCTAAGATTTTCGGTGTTCTAATCACGTAGCGCACTTTGAAGTGCACTATACGTCAATAATCCGCTTAATTTTGCACCCGCTCTTGGCTTTGTTCGCGTTAAGCTGACAAAACATGCGCAAATATTGCTTTGCAGCTCAGGGTACTTTGAGTTGACGGCTACTGTTTGTCAAGCACCACGCCCACTTCACCTGATACCCGCAACGGGCTTAACTCAAGTGGCTTAATACCTTCAAATGTTCACAGGTTAACATATTTAGTTACCAGGTACTTAGAAACACTTTTAAAATATCAATTTTGTTATATTTTTGTTGGTTTTGATATAAAAACAATTAGTTTTTGTTTGTGTTGCGATCGTGACCGGTTTTAACCATTTTCCGCCGTCATGAACACTCACAATCTGCCGTCCACCGCTAAACCCTTCGCCTACATCCGGGACGAATGTGCGCCACTGGCGCATTTCGTTTCCCATTGCGTTATTACGCCATTATGTGCGCCTTCCTGTCGGGATTTGTTTGTTTGCATCATGCACTAGTGTGCAGCACGCGTGTTAAATGTAATCAACGGCCTGTCTCGCGAGAATCCAGTCAGAGGGAAAGTCATGTTTTCGAATATTGCGCCCAGCCGCTAACATCCTGTAAATCAGGAATGGGATTTAATTTCGTTTTACCTTAATTTCATTCAGTGTAATAAAGATTTACTAATCACCGCTGCAAATGACTTCCTGAATTGAATTTGAAATAATTTTAATAATAATTTATTTGTTGAAAAACAAATTGTTTATCCAGCACTTGAAAAAACACAACTCATAAAATTATTTTCTGGCTCCTTTGCGTTGAATTGTCGAAGCTAAGGGAATGTAAAAGTTTCCAGACTTGATTAAATATAAAGTTGACCTAACTGCCGAAAATAGACGGCAAGAAAGCGAACGCAAACGCAAAGAGAGAAAATTAAATTTCCATTGTACTTTTAACTTTTATTTCGTTCCGTTTGCCTCATCGCGTCTTTCCGTTTCGCGATGTGAAACTTTGCGCGCACAATGCGAATACAAAAAATAATCCACTTCAATTTAAAGTTCAACTAATGACGAAAAGTCCAAGCGTTTAGCACAATCAGAATTATTATCGATTGCAATTGTTAATATCACTACATTTATATTAAAATCAATCGCTTTGAGAATTTATGCGCACTCTTATCGTTAAGAACACAACGCACGCCGTAGAGACATTTATTAACCGTTGGAAAAATTGAATGCACGATAAAACTTACGTCCTGCCGATGAAAAATGTATTTCGTCGTAAATCGGGTGGAAAAGTGCTCGCCGGACGATGCTCACGACGAAGGAAAACGATCGGACAAAGCACACAAATTGAAAAGTGGCGCGCGACTGAATCGAAACGTGCGCGCCGCGGATTATTTAAACCGAGGCGTCGACATGCACACGCTCGCAGCACGTCACGACGTCCATAAATAATAATAATCATCATCATAATCATAACGAATGCTTCTTGCGCGTGTTTTTTTCATTTATCGCACCGGAGCAATCTGTGGACATTTAGACATGAAACCATTCGTCAATATTAATATTTGGATTTACCGCGAATTGTGTGTCGAGTCATCCATTCATAAAACAGAAAAGTGTAGAAATTTTATAAGTTTTAGGGTTTTGGGAGTGTTTGTTTGGTGAGTCAACTTTGTTACAGGATCTTAAGTACACGGATGCTGGGATTTTAGTTTCGACGTCTGAAAATGACTATATTTCCAATTATTTATTGATTCAACATTACAAAACTAAATTTAATTTAATTTGTGATCAAAAAATAAAAAAAAATCAAATCTTAACATTTTTATGAAAAATTCAGTTATTTGTATAAATTTTTGTTAATTAATGTAATTAACAAATAAAGTAAAATTTAAAAGTTATATAATTTTATCGCTGGAATATCATGACAATTATTTAAACGATTCTATGAAGCAAATAAAAGCTCGCATGAAATCGTAATCAAGCACCCGAGTTCCGATGATAGAAAAGCCGCCGCCTCACATTGCAAGAGCTCGGCAGGAATGCTTTTCGTAATTAACCGGTAACGACTGCGCCCCATGCCGCCGCCATCCGCCGACCGCTGAAATTTCAGCGCGCCGCGTTGCGAAACGTTTTCGCCGTTTCATGAGCGATATGCTGCAAGCCCTCCAAGCTGAGGACACAATGAGGACGCGCATCAGAACGCTTCGAAACTAATTAACAGCCACCACCCTTGCCTCACATCTTGCACATCACGTAACACGCATGAAATTTAGATTTTAAAGAATTTCAAATTATAAAATTCAAATTTTGGCATTAGGCGAATAAAAATTTCAATTACGAGAGTTTAATTGTGTCTGTTCCGGGATAGAAATAGGGGCTTAGAGCTGGGATGGAATCACCTCGGAAAGTTTAGTTTTCGGACGATTTCATCCGGTTTCCTTGTGGTTTAAATGTTGCATCGCACGTCGAATGTCACCTTTGTTTGTGTTTCCGGGTCACACACGCGGAAAGAGCACTTCGTGCTGGTTGGTGTCTCCGGCTCCCTGGAGCGTTCGAAGCTAACGATTTAATTGGGGACACGAAAAGTGCATTAAAGAATTACTCGTCAAACCGCGCTCAAAAATTATTTCGTATGCAGACACTGGAACTTATCTAAAGTGATCTTAAGTGCTGAAATGTTAAATGTCATTTTTACTTTCGTAATAAATGCAGAATTTTATCACCAAAAAAGCAAAAAATTGTTTTTCTATTTTTTATTTTTTATTTCGTAATACTTTGCACTTCCGAGTCAATTCACACAAACAAGAATAGTGAATACAGTTGAGGAATGAAGCAATAAAACCGTCACTCGCATTTCACATCTTCTCTCGTCTATAACTTCCACGCAATTTTGTTGGGCGCACTCAAAAGTTGATTCCATTTGCGTACTGACGCACTAGCACCAACACAATATACCAATTTCATTTTTTCTTCATAAAACTCTATCAATTTCATATAAAATTCACTGTAAACAAAGAAGCTATACTTTTCTTTGAATTTATAAATTATGCATAAATACAAAGTGCGCGTGTTGCAGAACTATTAACGTTAATCCATTATTTAGTCGCTTAAGTCCTCCCGCCGAGCAAAGCCCACTTGAGCCGGTGCTCAGCAACGATTTATGACTTCGATTAAAAGAGCCCGGTTTCGTGAAAGTATTGCAAATTTCAAGTGGATATAATGAGCAAAAACTATGATACATGATACACAAAGTTGACGTTCAAACCGCCGCTGAGTCGAAATGTGTGGTAATTGTTATTAAATATTTGGACAATCGTGGAATGGCGGTCTGTCTAGCACAGTGACCGCATTAAAGCGTCAACATAGAAGACGCCCTTGGTTTATCCGAACGGCTTCAAATCGCTGACGCAAAAGCCAGATCACTTTTATATTAGTCAATCAGTAATTACTCAAGTGGTAACTAATTTATGGTCGAGTATTTGATACGTGCAAATTATTTAATTAAAAGGTGAAGGCGTAAAGTAGCTTTAATGAGTTTATTGTGTAATGAGACGTTGCAACAAGATGACAAAAGTGTAAAATGTCATTCGGGCAATAAATGCATGAAATTAACGCCATCTATCGTCAGAAACACTTGATTTGGGAAGTGACGTATTAATATAGTATTAATACATAACCTCATATTTTATTCAAAAATTAATTAATTTTCAGTCAATAGGTATCTTTTATCTTTTAATTATGAATGATTGCAAATGACTATTTGGTGTTATTGACAACACAATGAGTGTTTCTCGACTATTGACGTTTTGACTTTGTGTTTTCCGGGTTGTAATTAATTTATTTATTTAAACTGCGGCATCGTGTGTGTCGCATTGCCGCCTCGGGATAATTGCGCACGTCTAGTGCGTTTGATCTCTGCCGGTTTGCTTTGGTACGCAGTCATTATCATCATTATGTTCATGTCAGATTGTCATCCGTTATTCGCTCACATTGTCTTTGCCAGCCGCGCTGAATTCACTGAATGTCTATGTCTCGGAACCGATCCGCAGCTAATTGAAGATAATTATCTGCTCGGCTGGCTGGACATGTTAATAAATGTCAGTGGTGATCATCTAATTGATTTTAGGCTCAACATATTAATTGACTAGGAATTTTAATCACTTTTATTGATGAATAGCAGTCAAGCGGAACAATTCTTAACTTGCGTTTGAAGAATCAGCTAGAAACAACGGATAATTGGTTGAAAATTCTAGTTATTGGCCTTTTTTTTAATAATTATTTAATTAAAAGACAATAATAATAGGTAATAACTAAAAATTCTTAAATTAATTTGACGTTTTTAATTTTTGTTTTTATCCTCTGGTTCGTTTTGTAATGATTACGATTAATCTGGATGCAAATTTTGTAGATTTGTCCCGATCACGTTTTTGGCCGATACGAGGTTTCCGAAAATATCCCAGTATCAAAGGCAAACAAGAGTTGAACGCGCAGCGGGGCCGCGAGTGCCGGGAACAAGATAAAATGATGTTTTATTAACTCCCAGGCGCGGGGTGGATTTTTTTCAGCCGGGCGAATGCGGCTGACCGAATGGACGCGGCGGCAATAAACTGCGCGAGTTGATAGCGCCCGCAGGGAACGAAACCGGAGCATCGTAGAGTATAAAAGGGATGGTGTATAAAAAAATTGCTTGGATGGGGGAATAATGAGGCGTTGTTACAGATTTTACACACTTTTTTTGTAAATTCACTATCGTAAAACACAAAAATATTAAAATTTAAAATAAAACATTTTTGAAAAGTTTTTTTGGAAAAAAAATTGTCCTATATTTTTCACAATACCCTTAAAAATATATATACAAATTTTCATAATGATCGGTTGAGTAGTTTTTGCTGAAAAACGTAACAAGCAAACTCAAATTACAGAATTAAACGAAATAATTTGCATCCAAATTGACGTTTACGTAGAATATTTACTGGCATTAACTAGGCACAGTATATCACGTTTCGTAACGATGCTTTCCCGAATACAAGTGCGTGGCGCAAACAGCAAATAATCACGTCGGCCATGTTCGGTGTTTATTAGTGCATGCCTTTATTGCACCTTTCATGAAAACGCGTGGCAGCAGTGAATGTGAGTCGTGTCGCCGGGATGATGATGGATGTAACAACAGCGCAAAGCGATGTGCGGTGGACTTTTCGCTTCACGTTTCATCGCTGCTCGTTTTATTCATGTATGTCAATTAATAATTGAATCATATCTGTCTGGATTTTCATCGGATGAAAAGACTTTTGACATGCATGAGAATTGGGATGAATAAACTCGGGGAAATCATTATTCTGGCGTGGAAACAAAATTTTGAATCGAATAAATATTTTACAACGTCAAACAGTTCTAACGGATTATTGTGTAGGAAATATTTATCAATGTAACTTGTTGCGTTTGGAAGTTGATTGAAAAATAATTATTTTATAAACTACGCGATGACTTTTATCAGGAAAATTGTTTACTTCCACGGCAGTTTTACCACGGTTTTGAGACATAAAAAGTGGTACTTAAACACGGATAGCCAAAGCCGTGCGTAAAGTACTTTAGTCACGAATTTTAGTCACGGGTCGAGTTTGCGCATGCGCATTTCCACAAAACCTTTCACATCGTAAAAATATGATTTCATATGATTGGAAAATATTTTTTTCATAAACTGCGCGTTAAATTCAGTAAAATCAGGAAAATTGTTTAATTTTAGTGATTCCATATAATCCTCTACATGATCACTAATAAAGCAGTTAATAATTAAAATTCTAGTTTGTGTCTACATTTTTAGTCGCGTGTTGATGTTGATGGTATTGATGTTTATGAATTCTAATGTCAATGTTTCTGACCTTCGCCTTCGCTTAAATTTGCATAACATTTCCTAGTTATTAACTCATTTTCATTCTTATTGGCCTGTCAATGTAGATATTGATTCGTTAACTAAGTTTTTATTGATTTTTTAGTGTTCTACCTATGCTGCAACATTTAATTTACAAATTATTACCAAACTAGGCACTGGGAATATTGCCAATGTTCGAAAACAAATAAATTTAATCATAAAATGCCTGCACAGTTCGGAACAATACAATTAATTTCATCAATAAAACATATGAAATGAAGCATGCAATTCAATTTTACTCAAAGAGTAAATAAAATCTAAAATATTTCATTTCGTAATTACATTTTAGTTAAATCATGCAGAGAATAAATCATTTGATATTCTCACATGTGAATAGTTGAGTAAATCTATTGATATTTACTTTTACTATATTGTATTTTATTTTATTTTATTTTTTGTTTGACTTGTTTGCGTCGTGACCCGGCGGCAGACAAAGAACAATTCAAGGTTTGCCTCTGACTTAATCCGTGCAGACGTGGATATACTGCTAAATTAAAGCAATCGCGGCGTGGACACAAAGCAAGAGATTTATTATTGTCTCGTAATCTTCATTGTTCCTCGAGTTGTACTTCTTTTTCGGTACACAATCGGACGAACGTGACTCGGATTGTAACACTGACGCTGCTAATACGTAATTGCTTGACTAGGATAAACCAATTTGCATTTAAACTATTCATTATTATTGTTATTAGTAATTGCTTAACGTTTAAACAATTAGTAATGCAGTATTAAATTATTCTTAGTAAATGTGCGTGTTTAACCTAAAAAAAATCAAGTAAATATAACTTATACAATAACATAACCTCAAAAAGGCATTAAATTAATGTAAAATTAGGTTAGAATAACGTTTTTAACACAAATTACTGTTGAAATCATCATTCCGGATATAATAAAAACAAATAAATCAGTTTTAACTTAACCACTGATATAATATTTAAGATATTTATATTTACAGTTAATGCGGTTGAATTTTACAGACACGGGAATCCCGTTGAATTAAAAGTCATTTTGTGGTTTCACTCGGTTCTCATTGAATTCAATGGACGATTGCAAGTGACCCAGAAATAAAATGTCAATGCAACGCTTTCCAAAAAATAAAAGTACCGCAATGATGCTTTCATTACTCATTTAACTATCGAGTTCATTGCATTTATTTTCATTGCAGATATAAAAAAATCTTTTATTAACTTTATTTTTATTTAGTAGCTACAAGCACTTTAAGAAATTTGATAGTTCAATATTTACGCCCACAGTAAAATAAGACCATGACCAAGGCGAGTTCGATAAATCTCAGTTATCCTTGGCGCGCCAAATGAGCAAACACTCAACTGTTTACTCATCTAATGTATTATTACGCTAATAATAATTAAAAAGACCAAATAATTTGAAAATTTTATTGAGGTGCTAAAAAGCCTAAGTGATGAAACGTAGATTTACGATTACGATGATTGCTCTGTTAACACTTGTGATTTCTTTCAATTGGTACTTACGTTTTTCTAATTTGCACACACAACGCCCACTTGTAGCAACTCTCTCCTTCACAATATTTATCACTTTGCGGTGGCGATGCTCCGCGTGCCTTCCTCGCGAACCATTCGACGATACAATCAAAGCTTGGCATGATGTAGTCGCGCCAATCAAGCTCTATCCCCCGATCGCACCGCATCACTGCCCATACTCAATGTTGTACATACAACGAATTCACATTATCGCACCGACATCATCAGCACCTCCTCCAGCAACCGGCGCAAGTCAACAAGCAAACAAGCAAACAACTAACTAACCAAACACGCAACAGCTACGTATTGTTATGTATAGACATTACCGATTGAAAGTGGTGTAGACAAGCTGACTGCAAACAACTTTTACATCATTTATTTTGTGTTTATCGTGTTCAATAAAAATTAAAACGTAATTAACTTAAACAATCGTTTAGAGATTATTCATGTCATTGAAGTGTTGCTTTTTGTGTAGATATGATGAAGCGTTGAACATTTTTTATACATTTTATATTGGAAAGACATTAACAACGCTTCACGTCGTTATTTTTTTACATTTATCGATATCTTTTGATGTATAAATCCTTGAAAATTGTCTTTATGCACGTTTAGCGCTATCGAAGCATTTGACGCATCGCTGGGCTTGTGATTTCAATGATAATTTTCCGGCGGGTGGTCGGCAAAAGTCGCCCCCTGATGTGTGCATTTGAAATTGCATGCCACCGCCAGAAGCTTTGCCCACACCGCATTATTATTCATGTTGCCTGTTTTGATTAAGATTTATTGCGAATCGATTACAGTTGCTGTCAGTCGTTTGATCTCAGATGCTTAAAACGCGTTCAAACAAGCGAAAATTTTCATTTTTACATTATTTTACATAAACTCAACCAACATAACCTTACCTAACCTAACTTTAATAAATATATAAGGATATAATTAATTATTTACCTTTCATTCAAGAACCGTGACTGAGCATTAAACATACTCGTGATTAAACGTTGTTTTCTTTCTAAAAAAACTATAAAACTACGTGATGAACAAATTAGACGTTGTTTCACGCATCAGGATGCATCGTTGAACGTGGTAAAAGATGGTTCCAGTAATTAATCTTAACCTGCGCTACCGAAACGATGCGCTACATAATGTAGATATCAAGATAATGATGATGATGAAATTCCAAAATTCCAAGGATGAAGTACCCAACAATGCGAAGACTTACAACTCGAGGAGCATATTATATGATGATGAAGATGTAGAGGACTCATCTCGACATTGATCCAACATCACAGACAAAAAAAATAAAAAAACAAAATAAAATTTCTTACATGTTAAACAGTGATGAAGCAATTCATGAATCCATGGGTTGTAATTGCATTCAAACAATCATGATGAACTTGTGCACACTCGTACAATTATCATGTTGTTTGATGCTCTCATCTCGGTAGCCTTTTATTTGTTACTAACTAATAATTTTATAACATTTTAACACATTTTTATTGTTTTAGAGTTTTAATGTCACGCGCGTAGTTATCTCTTGCAATCATCATGATTGATTGATTGCTGGTTTCTTGCATCTTTGACATGTTATTAATGTGAATGCTTATTGTTTAATGATTATCATTAAGTCTTTTGATGAGTAGCACATTTTATGTATTTATTTATGGTACAACACGATTTTTAACACGTTTCTTCGCACAATCGAGCAAACAATCACGTTTTGTTCCTTTTTTAGCGATTCACGTTCGCACGACGACTGAATTCGAATAAATATTTATGCACAGATGCTGTGGGAATATTCAAGTTATCAAAAGATGAAGTTATCAGCCAAGTCAATGTTTATTTCCAATACAATATTTCATACAAAATAAAATCGTATTATTTTTTAACTTGATAAGAAAAGTTATTAACTTTTTAGTCGCGTTTTTTTTTTCTCCACTCATAAAAACTAATTGCTAGAGCTTTACAAGAAAGCTACAAGCAACAAGTAAGGATCAACAAGTCAACGTTCACCACACGCCTCTCTCCAGAAACTATTATCCTTTTTTCTGCTCCCTGCGTTCGTTTCCTGACGCCTTGGCCGCGCGCCAAGCGACGTTTTTCTTCCCGCGTCCGCACTTCATTTTCTTATCGGAGTTTTTAATCGCACGTTTTTAATTGCAGGCTCAACCAATCTCGTTGGTAAATTCACGCAGAGTGTACGCCGCATCGTCGCCGATGTGAAGGACGAAGGCACCGCCAGCGGGCAGACAAAGGAAGAAGTCATCGAGACCAATGAGCGCTTGCGAGCGGTACGCATTCGCCTCGACGAGTCCTACGACACTGCCAAGAAGTCTCTCGTCGGTCTCATGGGTAAATACAACGACAGCAAGACCGTCAACAATATCCTGCATCGATATAAACTACTGAAAGCTATGATCAAAGTAAGTGATATCATTGTACACTTCAATTAATCAAGATGATGGGGTTATACACTCGCATATTGTCTCTTTAGGATGTAATACGCTTAGAAACGCAGTATTGGACGCTCGTGGATATTCCGAAACAAGAGAAACAGGAAACCGTGCCTGCTTTTGTACTGCGAGCGTGCGCCATCATGGAAAAGACGCAAAAGTCCGGCGAGGGAGTGAAAACGTCAGCGAAACTTGCAGAAGAAGCGCAAGACAAACGGGAACGCATTGATCGACTCGAAAGTAAGTTATAACACATACAAGTGCTTGATTTTTTACATCCTGTATTTACAAACGCAAGCAATGCGACGAAAATCGTGAAATCCTGAAAATGTGGAAATGCTTCGTCTTTTAATCTAGCAAATATAATGAAGTCTTGCTTCCTTTTTCCTCCGCTTCGCACCCTGTCGAGTGTGTGCGTATTTACACAGCGTATCATTGCGTGTCCCCTGCCCCGCTGTTGGTAGTGTGTATGCTTTCCAACTCTCGGGAGAATTGCGGAAAGTCGTCCTTGAAGTTTTTCATTTCGCTGCTGCTGGCTCGTTTGCACGAGGCAACGTGTTTCATTTATTTAAAATACAAAAACGCAGGTATTTGTTTTACCAGGGAGTGGTTGCATCAAAAATGAAGGTTTGGGAAGGAAAACATTTTTATTTCAGTATATTACAACAGAAAAATCAAGAAAAATTGAAGTTTTTGGAATAACTTAAGAAATATTACCTCCATAACAATGAAAAATATACTGAATTCTTAAGAAATTAATTCTCTAACTTTTTGGTTTAAAATTTTTAATTTTTTGAGAATTTAAATATCAAAAAAATGTTTTTTTGTGTTTCAGACATGACCACATCTACAATCGAAGCAGAAAACACACAAATGACAAACGATCTCTACCGACTGCTCAAAAAGTACACAGGCCTGCGAAATTTGATCAGAGAATTGAAGGTACCCTCAATCATCCTCTCCAAACACCTATAATTATAATAAACCCACATATGTTTCAGATGGACTACATGAACTCCAAGTTATACCCAATCTTCCCCCGTTACACAATGCTCAAGGACATGATCAAGGATATCATGCTGCATCCGGATTACATGGAGGTATGTCACGAGATCGACGCATAGCCACGGTCCTTCAAAGCAACGGGCCAAAACGCCCAAACTATGTAAAAGATATGTTTGGCCAAACAAGCGCTACTGTCACACATCCCAATATGACGGTTTATAGCTAGGATAAGAACCTCCTTTGTAGAACAATCGTTAGATATGAAATTTCAATGGACCATCGGTAATCGTAGAGAGAATAAAAAGGAAAACAGAAACGTACATGAGTAAACAAACATTGTGTTCACTAAATGTAATGTCTAAACATAACCTAATTTCTGTTCCAAACAAATATGTCATATCAGTAACAATTCTGCAATTCGTTTTGTTATGTTTATCCTCGTGTAATAACAATCGACTTTTGATTTTTGATTAGCCAATAAAAAATTGTTAATGCAAGTAAATGTTTAGCTTATAAAGACGCTACAGATGATTAAATGTTACTAACTCGATGTCTATTGAATGTTACATTTGTTTCTGTTGTCGCAAACGTACCATTTTGATTTGATCCAAAAAACGGGAACAACCTAAAACATCTATTTTTAAAAATTTAAGAATACAACAATAGAATGTTCGTTTTTCTTTGGATTAAAATGCAAATATCGATGTATTATACACACAAATCTACTATGCGGTTATTATTACTATAAAAATTAGGTATAAAGATGATACAAAACAATATTTATATCAATGTACGTATTAAATGTGAGATGTGATGTCAAAACGCGGGATGTTTATGAAAGATGTTGCTTACGAAATAAAATTTGTGCATTCATTGTTATTATTCTGTTTGACAGCATTTTCTACAGGAACCAGCATAGGTTTCAAGCAGGACCAATCCTAGTAAATAATCGTTCTTTTGCAGTTCCAGGTCGTTGGTGTTTTGTAATAAGTGAATTGTTTGTAGAGCACACGCCTGAAAAGAGTTTTAAGTAAATTTAAGTAAATTTAACTTAAGTTTTGCTTAGATACTTACCACACTGAACATAACATACAAAATTGGTGTAAGGATGAGATGAATGAGCGCGGTTTTCTCACTGAGATAAAAATGCATCAAGACAGCTATCAATATGCATCCATTGATAAGGATATTTAAGATATGCATGAACCAGTTGCCAACATCCAGCTACAGACGAAGAAAATTGATGAGTTTTTTTTTGCAAAAAATTGTTTTGTACTCACCAGAAATGTGAAAAAGCAGGCACCGCTTATAATTGTCGTCACGATGGCTATTGTTAGACTTGGCAACCAAAACATGTCTTCTTCTATTGTTGCAATGCATAACACTGCACCACTCCACATGGTCCACTATAAATTTATTTTACAAATATATACTTTTCAAAGCAGATTATAAGACTTACTATTGATATTATTAGCAGAAAACTTATCGGTGTGTTGTACCGCAAGGATTCATAGCACATCAGGATCACATATACTGGACAAGCAGCAATCCTTCAATAATAATTATTATTACAAATAAAAGCCAGACTTAACAATTATTAACACACGAGTTTAAACTTATTTCTTGAGTCCACTTTGGCCTCAAATAAACAAAAAAAAAACTATCGAAAAATTGAATTTTTTTCCTTTGCATGTAAATAAACTAGAAATAATTGTTGCTAGACTTACCATAAGGCAATTGCAACACCACCCATAATCCATTTGTTTGCGTTGCCATAATCACGAAGCTCTTTGCTGAAATAAACACCAGTTTTCACCTATTGAGACACAACTAATTTGAAACTAATACACAATACATTAATGATCCAGTCAATGCTCCAGCCACCAACATTGTCCGTCCCACAAGAAGTATAAACCACACAATGCGTATAAACTTCCCTCGGTTCCATTTCCCCCCGAAAGCATTATCATCTTCCTGGAACATTTTCTCCAATCAATTCAGCATAAAATGAAGTGTATATGTTTTAATGACTTATATCAGCTTCGCTGTCAGTGTCACTTTTTTTTCAATTTTTTTCATAATACATACAAGTATCATGACTTCAAGATGGGTAGAGGTGCGTGGTTCACATGATGATATTCTCAATGAAAGAGCGCATGGCTTCACTAACAAGGAAGTGCGGAAAGCGTTCATTCGCAAAGTCTACCTCTTACTGGGCATTGAATTGTTATTCTTGTTTGGATGCTGTTTACTTGGAGCCTTCTTGTATGTAGTATTTAGTATTATGAGTGTAAATGCAAAAAATATGTTATGAATTTTAGGCAACCATTGAGAATATTTGTCTTTCTACATTATTGGTCATCTCTGGGGATAATGATCGGCTGTTTGTAAGTTGTAACATATTAAGTGATTCATACAAATTATGTTCGGTTTTAGTATCGCCAGTTTTATACCGTACATTGCATTGACTTGCTATGAGCATGTGAGGAAAGCTGTGCCAGGAAACTATATTATCTTCAATGTTTTTGTACGGACTAGTAATTATTTTCTTAAAAATCACTGTTTAAGTGATTTAGAATAAAAATAACAAAAATTGTTCTGTTACTCAACTATTCACATGAAACCAAGATAATTGCTAATTTTAGTCAATTTAGTCAATTTTTATAATTATTCACTTTTCAGGTGCTTTTTATCTCAATTGGAATAATGTTTGCAACTGCCATGATGGAACCCTGGGCTTTTCTCGCAGCCTTTGGTATTACATTAGCTTTGGTCATCTTTCTAACTTTGATATCATTCATACCATGTGTAAGCGTTAACAACCTTTAAATTTCAGTTTGAATTATTAATTTTAATATGTTTAGCTTGATGTGACAGGTTGGGGTATCTGGCTATTCGCAATTGGATTTGTCGTAATGATGTTCGGCTCCATATCAATGATTTTATATATCTTCTTGCGAATAAGACTCTTAATACTTGTTTATGCAGGTCTCAGTGTCCTCGTGGCATGCTTGGTAAGAAAAAATTACAAAATACTCATAAGAATATCTAATTATCAAAGTTTTAGTATCTAGTATTCATCACGCAATTAATTATTGGTGGTAAAAGGGTGGAATTGGATCCGGATGAGTATATTCTGGGGTGCATCCTGCTTTTCACTCAAATTATTTCGATGCTAATGAATATGATGGTACTTTTCAGAAGCTAAAATTCAGATAAATAAAACCTAATGTATATATATTTAAAAATAACAATGTAGTGCGTTTATTTAGAGCATTTTTTAGTTACATTTCTAAGCATGGCGGCCAGTCTAGTAACAAATCAAATATAAAACAGCAATACTATTAGGTTTTCTTAAAATAATCAGTAATCTTTTTCTTCGGAGTACTGACCGTTGAAGAACTCACCGCCGCGGAATTGTCTTCAATATCTTCAGAAAGATTTTCTATAATTTCTTCAACTTCCATGTGTTGTTCATCGTTTTTCTCAATTTCAATAGTTGTGTGATGTTGGTCTGATACATTGCTATCAGATGATGATTTATTAGCCTGTTTAGTGTATTCATCAACACAATTCAGGAATCCCCATGATGTATTATGAGCACTCTCTGAACTTGTGACTGTCTTAGTAGGACTACCGTCAATTTTATTCATAATGGATATTAAATTGGTTGTAGTTGAAGGTGATGTTGTAGATGTACTAGCTGAATCTGATGTTTTACGTTTTCTCTTGGGTAAATGAGGTGATGATGGAGTTGTGGGTTCCTGACTATCTTCAACTTCCATATTGTTGTTAGTAGGATTAGTAGGAGATAATCTACTAGTACTTTGACCGTTTAAATTAAAAGTTTTAGTAAATCTAAATTCTTTTGGTGGATTTGGTTGGCCAAACAACGAGCTTGTCTTAAATGCACTGACGGAAACTTTAACAAACGCATCTTTCTTTGAATCAAAATACGCCTGCTGAATATAACTAAACAATTGATCAGGTTTTAACTGCGCAGCTTCAAACCGGCACAATAACCGCCACAACTCAGATATTTGTATCTGATTTGTAGCAATAAATGAATAGAAATTGTATAAATCATCACGCAGTTTTTTCGAACCAAACGTGAAATATACCAAGTCTCTACGTGCTGCACTGCACGCCATCAATTGAATAATAAACTTCAGATGGAGATTACCTCCAAAGGCACCGCATCCCCAATTACCGGTAGCAACAGCTGCTAATTGACCAGTCGCCCGCGAATGGAATCCTGCATACGCTTTATTGAGTTCGCGAAGTATCATCCCGGATTTAAACTGTTCGTTTGAACGGGTTTGTCTCGTTGCATCGATGGCCACGATTGATGTACGTCGACGATTATAATCATCAAAGGGCGTCTCATCGACATAGTTACCATCCCATTTGAATGTATCGCCGTAGCCTTTGTAGCGACTAAAACGTTCAGCGCCAGTCATAATGAGTGCTTCGCCATTGTTTAATCTCTCTGTGAATAATCGAGAAACGATCAATTCTGGGTTTATTACAAAGCGGATTTCTTCTTGGACACATCCACGGGCTAAGACTCCACCGCCAATGAATCTGGGAAATATTTTGTTATATTTTGATTGTTTCATCAATATTTTTTTGAGAAATTACTTGTTTGCAAAATCAACTTGCAGCAAACCCAAACCTTCTTCGATTATTCCATCGGAGGTGATGTGCACGCGCACATTTCCAAGGTTTTGAGACAATTGGTCCCACCTTGGTTGATTTGCTCGAGATATATGTTGACGTTCAAATGTTACCACTCCACAAGGCACTGATAACAATTAAATTAATAATAAATTATAACTAAAGTAGATTTTACTACTATTTCTAACGAAACACTTACTTTTGTCTAGGACTCTTTTGAAATAGTGAATGATGCATTTGAGTTTTTCAACCACCCACACATTATTTTGTGTAAACAGCCTGAGAACAACAATTGACATATAATGAAATATATAGGTTTTATCTTATTTATTTAACTTAAAAACTATAAACATACCCAATGAAATTTATTCGTGGGTAACTTTGTTCAAGAACCTTTCTTCCTGAAAACGTGCACAGAAACGCATTCGCCAATAAACTAGCAATCTGCAACTGACTCAAGCTAATTGACTTGCAGTGATCAGCCTGAAGAAGTGGCAAACTCCCTGGCAAAATTTCCTCCAACTGCAAGGCAAGCTTGACAATTCCAGGCAATAATTTATTGAAGAAATGTCTGCTCTCTTCTTCATCAAACTCCTCCTCGAACAAATGATGCAGTGCATGAAACTTTGGCAAACGATTATTGTAGACATTTATTGCAGCTTCTAATTCTCTGCTTGAGCTTATAGCTTGTTGCAGAGTAGATTTTATCAACTCCCAACGTGATACTAAAATATCATCACCATTATCCTGTAAAATTAAGCATTTTATGAATTTTTGCTCTTTTAATTTAATTTTTAGCAATTACATCTTTGGAGGGATATACATTTCTAGAAGAGAATGGCATTCGAACAAACCCCTCATCCCAATGATGTATCTCATGGCCTGCATATGGCTTTGGTGGACATTCTAAACTGGATTTGAGTTGATATAGTATTGAGTGATATGTAGACAAGACAATTGGTAGAGTGTGATAATGCCATGGACCTTCTCCATTGTAGATATCTTGCATTGGGGTGCCTTTAAACGACATTCTTCTCTGGATATCTATGAAGGTCAATTTATTATTATTTACCAGTTTTTTTAAAGGTACAAACCGGCGTCTGAACACAATTTCAGAATTTACATCCCACTCACTTACTAATCAAAACAAATTTAGAGGTTACTTATTATACATATTATTAATTGTTCACTGGTTTATACTGCAATACTTGAAGAAAATGTGGAAAACTTTAGTTTTTGAAGGGAACTATTACTTGTTTAAAGTTATATCAGCAAATGAAGAGGTTACTATTTATATATCAGACTTACAGAGTATTTGGAGAAAGCAAACAAGCAATGAACATCTACAGCAAATATTTAAGGTGAATCATAATATCTAATCACTGAAATCATTTGAAATATTATGAAATTATGTTACATATTATGAAATTATGTTACATATTATGTTTCAACATCCTGTGATGTCAATTTGTTTAATTTTTCAGCAAACAAACACATTATTAGATCATGAAGCACCTTCTGTCCACAATATTTATTTATTGATGTTAAATGAGAAGAACCTTGAAAATCTAACATTTGATGCTGATAGCAATGAATGTAGCTTAAAATTCAAGTATTTTATTGATGAATTGCCTGTGAAATTAAACATTAAACTCCAGAAACAAGCAGGCACTGATTACCTAAATCAAATTACCATTCCCTTAGTTCAAACTGTACAATATTTGGAATTTAAACAGAAGAAGCTGGAAACATTACTATGCCAAAAGGATAAAGAACTGTCAGAGTATAAGTTTGAATATGGCAAAATTTCTAGAAGTATTACATCTATATACCATCGTTGAATGTATTCTTACGTATTTTTTGTTTGTTTTAAGAAATTTTAAACACCGAAAAGTATGAAGCTGATAGAGAAATGAAAACAAATTTGGTACTAAAAGTGTTTTCAGAGGACAACGATTTTAATAGATTGTTTGCTGAGAAACATGGAGATATACAACAATTATTTCCAGAGTATAAAATACATACATGTTTTTAAAATATCAGTTGTTATCATACAATTTTTCAGAATTAAGGAAGAGAAGAAACCAGAGAAAAGAAAGCTGGAATTGGCACCAAGTAAATATAAGAAGACGAAATGATTATTCATCAAAGAGATATTTTTATATAACTTTATTGTTTTGATGCATTGTTATTGTTTTCATTTTTAGATGTAATGCATTATAAGTTGCATTTGACAGTTGCTTGAACTCAAAAGGTCAATATTTTCTTGAAGGAAGTTGATTGGTATTTGTGGTATTTCTAATAAAATATTACATCAAATTCAAAAACATTCACTACACCCAGCCTACTTCGTGCAAATCATTCGAAATAAATGATTTTTAAGAACATAATCATCACAACAATTGTTTTAAGGTTAGTTACATATCTGTACTCATGTGAAGTATTCCGGTATGAAAAGCTGTTATTAAATGTAATTTTAATTTGTTGATAACTTTAAATATGAATACGAATACTGTTTCATGTCTAGCTTTAGTGTTAACCAAATAACATTTAACATAAAATATCATTTCATTACATTCGTATTCTAAATAATGTTTTGTTTCCTTAAAGTTTGCGAAGAAGCTTCTCAATGGCTACCAATTCCTCTCTTCCTGGCACTTTTTCAGTCGCCTATGTGACTGTCCCAAATGAAGAATTAGCAAAAACATTGGCCAAAGGACTAGTCCGCGAGAAACTTGCTGCTTGTGTAAATATTATCCCCAGAATCACATCAATATATGAATGGAAGGGTGAAATTCAAGAGGACAATGAGCTCCTGTTAATGATTAAAACTCGCACGTCAAGAGTTGATGAGTTGACCAAGTTTGTGAGGGAAAATCATTCCTATGAGGTGTGTGAAGTAATTTCACTGCCAATTGAGAAAGGAAATCCACCATATTTGAAATGGTTGGGAGAAATTGTCCATGAATCACAATAAAGGTGTGAAAATTGGCGGGTGGAGAGGCAGAAGTGAAAGGAGAACATTTGTGCGTGATCCGAATCGAAGCAAACAAAACAAAAAACGGAGGAGGAACCTAGAGACTTGCGACAACCCGCAAAAAGGAGTGGGGGAAGACGCCCGAGGATCCTAGCTGCTAAACCTGTAAAACCCAGGTAAGAGCTGATAGGGGCAAGTTTTATACCATGGCGTACCAAGTAGCAAGGTCCCTACTTGATTATTTATTTAATGGTTCTTAAAAACTATTCGTGTGTAAAATGTATTCGTATGTTTACATAAAGAATAAACATACAATTGAATTGCTAACGTTTTAATTAAACTATATCGACATACAGTTTACATAATTATAATTTATAGTATATTTTAAGAATTATTAGATATTACATAAATTTTATATGAATTAAATGTTTCGTTTGTTTCTCTTTGTTGTATCAACGTTTGGTAATATTCATTGTTTTGTCGTATTTGGTTTTACTTGTTCCAGAATTTCTCGCATTTGCAATGCGCAATATTAATCGCATATTATATCACAATTTTGACAATGTTTTGTATAACTCACGCACACACACACCAATGATCTTTTGCTGAATTTCTCAAATGTGTTTTTCATCAATTCAATGTTTCTGTGTTTCGGTTATGATTCATTCTTTGACGCATGGTCAAATTAATGGTCCCAGCAAAAGCATTTCATTTAACCAAAAAGAAGTGAATAGAAAAAGCGATTTATATTTTGAAGCATCTGTTTGAAATTGCAAATTACATGATCAGAAACACCCTGTACATTAAAATCACGTTAGTTATGTTTATGTAGTTGCATTAAAGGATTACATCTGTTTAAAATAATCTTAGTTCATTTTTAAGAATGCAAACACAGTTTTTTAATACAAAAAAGTGTTTTGCTTCAGTTTTATTAATTTTTTGAGTTTTATGATGCAGATCAAGTGATGTAATCCTATAATAAGTATTAAGTTAAGTTTGAAGGTCATCAAATGCTTTATACATGTATGTATGTAAGGCATTTCTTTAATTCTCGTGCGTTTAATCTGATAGTTACGGTTTGTACTCGATAATGTGACTAAAAAACCAAAAACTCCGAAACTAGTTGTGCGTTACCTGCGCGCTGTGCGTTGAACTACTTCATCTACCAATAGTAATATTTAAAGTCTACTCAATGTAAACAATGCAATCTGTGTTACCTGCGTATGTTTTCGGCACAGTTTAAACACCAGTTCTTTTTCTTTTTAATATACTAATAATCTAATACGTATCTGTGGTAAACTTTTCAATTGCTTCTAATGATTATGTCACTTGTCTTGAAATTTTGTCTTGTTTTACTTAATTGTATAAGTCATATATGTTAGGAAGCTTGGAAAGTCTTGTTGTGTGTAGTCGAGAAAATTTTAGCAATTGCAGCTTTTCGCATTCGAGTCTAATTTGTTTTTCAGTACTTCAGTCTCTTCCTTAGTCTCTTGGAATGGGTCACCCTGAAAATTATTACATATTTTTATATTTAGTTATTAATAAGTTTTAATAGTTTAGTTGTACCTTAAGTTCTCTAAGTTCTCTTATTTTTCTAGACAGGGTAAGAAAAGCGTTTTCTATGTTAATGTTATCTTTGCAGCTTACTTCAAAGAACGGTAGGTCGAAATTATCCGCCATCTAAAGATTTACTGATTAATTATAATTTTTGTTTTAATTAACAGATTTTACCTTTTTGCCGCTGTCTAAATCAACCATTCTATCATTTGATTCGCATTTATTACCAGCTAAGAGCGTGACGACGTTGGGGGAAGCATTCTATAAAAAGACGAAGAAAGATTACAAGCTAGGTTTTATTTTCACTGAAAAAACTTACTTCTTCGATGTTTTGTAGCCAATAAGTGATGTGATTAAACGATTCCAAGTTGGTAACATCGTACAGCAATAGTATACCCATCGCACCTCGGTAGTAGGCAGTTGTAAGGGTGCGAAAGCGCTCCTGGCCGGCGGTATCCCAGATTTGCAGCTTGATGGGGACCCCATCGAGATTGATAATCTTTTGCTTAAAGTCAATGCCTAAAATGAAACCCGAAAATTCACTCGCTGCTGTAAAACACGGAAAGCTCTTTGTGTGCTGTGTTATTGATCATTGCAGGATGCAGTAGAGTGCATTTTCTGTTATTATTATTTACCAATGGTGGAGATGTAGGTGTCGTAGTAACGCTCGTCGCAGAAACGATGTACGATGCAAGTTTTGCCAACGTTGGAGTCGCCGAGAACAAGCACTTTGTACGTTGCGGCGAAGTCCAGCGCCATTTCGGCACAGTGCACTGCGCCCCGAGATTAGTCACGCCACCACCACCACTCGGGACTGCGGGGATGGAGCGGGATTCCTGCGAAGGGTGCATATCGATTTTACACCGCATGCGCTCTTTCCATGATCTTAGATCTTATTCACTTGTAGCATTCCTCAGGTTAATGTTCAGGGCAACATTACATCATTGTTTATTTTAACAATACATTGCATAATCGATAATTTTGTATATTAAGGAGTAAAATAGGGGATTTATGCACTAGAAGCAGGGAAATTTAAAATAGATTTTGATGGTGCTTATTTCTGATGACAATAATTATAAAAACATCTTTAAAACATACATTTATTGCTAATTTTATTTTCAAATTTTGATCTAACGTGTTTTTTGCGAAAAATTTCATGTTTTGTTTATTTAAAACTCGTTTAATTTACTGACATCATAAAATAAGTACATAAAAACATCAATTTCCTATTTGTTGCTATGTCAACGTCTTTACCAACAAGGTGGTTAATATTAACAGAAGACTATCCACGCTAGTCGTATCAATTCCGATCATCCCTAGGGAAACATATTACGTCCTCGTACTTGTGGCTTTCATTTGCCTGCTCACTTTTGAATAAAATATTAAGCATGTCCCGTTTACGTTCGGTGGATCCAGGTAACGAGGACATTATGAAGGGATATGAAAGACTCAAAACCGTTGGAAAAGGTAAAATTATACTTAAAATTTATTCGTTTTCTTTAATTAATGCTTTTATAGGGTCTTTTGGAACTGCAACTTTGTACAAACGCCTTGCAGATGATATTCTTGTTGTTATGAAACACATTCACTTATCGGAAATGGCGCACAACGAACGCAACATGGCCCTGAACGAAGTTCAAGTGATTTCTTCCTTGGATCACGAAAATATTATAAAGTAAATGTATATTTTTTGTTTTGAATGTTTATAAATTATTATTTTTAGGTATTTAGGAAGTTTCGAAACAGATTCTGCTTTGGTAATTATCATGGAATATGCAAACGGCGGCAATCTCGCACAATTAATAACGTTAAAGAAAAACAACGACGAACCAATCGCCGAAAACTCTATTTTGAACATATTTTCACAGATTTGTAATGGGATTGGTTACATGCATATGCACAAAATTTTACACAGAGATTTAAAATCGGCGAATATTTTTTTAACGCGCGATGGTGTGGTGAAAATTGGAGATTTTGGTATTTCAAAAATGCTTACGACTCGTTCAGGAGCACAAACTGTAGTGGGAACACCATATTATTTAAGTCCTGAAATGGTAATGGTATCATATACTCATACTTAGATACTACTAATTTATTAATATTATTTTAGTGTGAGGGAAAAGAATACAATGAGAAGTCTGATATTTGGTCAATGGGCTGTATTTTATATGAACTGATTTGTTTGAGAAAACCGTTTGAAGCTACTACTTTACCATCTTTAGTACAACAAATTACTGCAGTAAGTAAAATTAAAATTGATATTTTATTATTATTATTTGAATTGTTTCATTAGGTGCAATATAAAGATATTCCCCAAACTTATTCAGATGGACTTCATCGTTTAGTTCAAATGATTTTACAAAAAGAATGCGAGAAACGACCCTCTGCTCAATATATTTATCAAACTATTATTCCTGCCATTTATGAGACGCTTTTAGATGCAGATTCTTCGAATAGATTATCTTTATCTACTATATTTAACCGAAGGTAAACATTTTATGAATTTTATTAATACTGAATCTTTTAAAGAACGTTTTGTTTGTTCAGTATTCCGAAGGACAGATCTGTTTTGTATGAATTGTATGGATTTACAAGTGAACCAAATTTATATCCCGTGAAGTTGCCACACAAACAAATTATTGATTTTTCTAATAGTGGGACACACTATATCGTGTTGACTATAGGTAATTTAATATAATAAAGTAACTTAACATTAGTTTTTTATCTTCTATATTTGGTTGATTGTAGATAAACGTGTTTATTCATGGGGTGAAGACGTTTACGGACAATTGGGGCACGGCCAACCAAGTGATTATAAAAAGTTCCCGATTTATGTAGATTTTTTTCGAGGACGAAATATTGCCAGATGTTTTGCGGGAGAATCATTCTCAATGTTTCTGACTGAGCATGGCACCATTTTTACTTGTGGAGATGGAAGATTTGGTTGCTTAGGACATGGAGATTGGAATACTACATCAAAACCCACGTTAATTAGTAAGCAAACTTTGTTAACATCATACGACATTTAATATTACAGAATTTAATAAAATGTAACTGTTGCAGCTTCGTTATCAAGCGTAAATATTACGAATTTAAGTTGTGGATCGACGCATGTGATCGCTTTAGCATCCAGTGGAGTGGTTTACTCGTGGGGTTCCTCAAAAGATGGACAATTAGGATTAGGAGCAACACAACATAGGTATATTAATATTTTAAACAATATTTATAGTATAATTAAAACAATTAATTAATTTTAGTTGTAAACCAACACGTGTTCAATTGCCAAGCGATGTAAACATTCGAGAAGTCTTTGCTGGTTACGACAATTCCGTTATTCTAACAACTAGCGGGCATATATTTGTTTCCGGTAGTAATTTGAATAACAAACTTGGTCTTGGCACACTAACTCATTGTAAGAAATTCGTATTCTTGTCTGGATTGGACGATAAAATTAAAGACGTTTCGTTGGCTTTTAAACATACGGTTCTATTGACGGAAAACGGTGAAGTTTTATGCATGGGAAGTAATCAAAACCATCAATGCGGAATGGGCAGGTATGTTAATGGCATTTTACGAGTCTTAGATTTACCACAAATTCAAGTAAGTAAAAACTATCTGTCCTGTAACAAAACATTAATAAATTGAAAAATTATATTCAATTGTTTTTGTAGATGATAACCGCAGGTACTTGTTACACTATAGCTGCTTCCGAAGATAACGTATTATATTTTTGGGGTACCCATTATCTGAAAACTTCAAAACCCCGCAATTTTAACGAAACCTACACAAATTTTCAAAGTAATTCGTCTGGATCGGGTGCGCAATTGTTGCCACCGTTCAAGGATGGTGAAAACATCGCTGGGAGTTTTACGGAAGTCGAGATGCGTTTTCGACGGTTAAAATACGCGGTACCTGAGGAGAATCTTAGCACATTTAAGCCCATAGTGCAAATAAAACCGACACCGATTTTGGCACTATACGCTTCACCGGAAAATGTAAAACAGGGGAAAATTGTTTGGCTTGCTGGTATTAGCGCCAATGATAACAGTGTTTCGGTTTTGGTGCACACAACTGCACCGCCACCCATAAAGAAACTTGAAGATGATACTGGCGGACAATCATTACTTGTAAGACGTTTAATAATAAAATGTCTTGTCTATACCTTTATGTTTCAGATGAATTGGAATAAATCGAATCGTATTTATAGAAATCAGACTTTACCGAATACTCCACAAATGTCTTAAAATTATTTTTTGATATGAAAGATTGGAAAATAGTTGCTCGTGATTCTCATTTTGCACCGTGTGGAAAGATTACTTAATTCCGCAATTGTGAAAAAAAAATTCAAATTTATCATATAATTTGCTTCATTGAAAGCATTGGTAGGTCTAAAATATACTACATTTACTCTTAAAATTGCGAACAATTAAACAATTAAATGTGAACATCCTAGCGTCATCTAGGTTTGAGTTTTGTGTTTTTGTATTTTTATGTAAACATGCTATTTCTTTGGATTGGGAGGTGCATGTACACTTTTGTGTACATGTGACACACGGACACAGGTGCCCCTCCATAACAAACCTGACCACTCACTGACTTCAAGTCACCTTAGATGGCGCAGCAATACACTTTATTAAGTAAAAATAGTCGCACGATGCCGTGTGCGTACCTTGCGTTTCATTCGGCGTGCCGCTTTCGTTATTACATTCGGTAAATCGCGATTTGTTTAATTAAACCATCGTCAATATTTCCTGTTAATAAACGTGTCTTGTGTTTTGCTAATGATTTATTGCGTGTGTAACGTGAATTTATTGTGTTCTATATTTACTGCACGCGTGTTTCCGTGAGTGCCGTTATCCGTTGCCGTCGGACGCTGACCGTCGTTATTCTGTGATTTCTAATAATAGTGATTAAAATTAGTTCACATAACATTTTGGACTTGGGCAATTCAATTTTGTCGTCAAAAGCAGATCTTGTACTTATATGCCGCCTGGTAAATATGCTCATTCGAATAATTATACTTACTCGTTACTATTATCAGGAATTGTACGGAACGATAAAAGTAATCTGTTCTTTCTTCTTTGTTTTCGAATCTTCTTTCTTTACATTTTCGGTGTTGCAAGTATAACTGAATAAATTAAATCATTTATAGTGTTTGTTTGCTAAGTTAATTTACAAGTTGTATTGTTTAGTAATTACATTTTTGCAGAAAATGAAAATGGTATAAAAATAACAAGAATTAAATGGGTAAATTAGTATTAGTTTAGATTTGTTCTAATTTTTGTTTTATATTGTGAAGAATGAATACAATATTGACTTGTAATTATTGTTTTTGAATGTCTGCAAACTAAATCATTTGACACCTGACTAGAACATATTTATTTCGTTTCGGGGCTAATCCGAGTGTGTATGTATACCTAAGGGATTGTCCATTAATCACGTGAGGCATGAAGGGGGGGGGAGGGGTTTGTTAAAAATCACGAAAAATCACCAGGGGGAGGGGGGAGTGGAGTAAGATATCACGTGTATTTATTTTTTCGTCAAACGCACGATTTCTAAAGAGAAAAATTTTATTATTCTTTGTTGGGATTAAAATACACGTGATGATGGGGGTGGGGGGTGGGGGTAATCTTAAACCTCACGACGTATCACCAAGGGGGAGGGGGGGTCCAAAAAATGAAAAAAAAAGATCACGTGATTAATGGACAGCCCCTAAGTACAACGTTTTACATTGCAACAACGGATATGAATGGTAAAAATGATAATACTTTATTTGGACGACAAACATTATGTTTTGAGATGCAATTTGATAACATTCCTGGCATTTGTATAAAACGTTCTAACAGAAGTTCTCTTCTATGTTGTAAAAATATCAATATATTTTTGTGTCAGAAATAGTTTTTCCGATATTACACGCGAACGCGTGTAATTTTTTGATTTTCTAGAAGTTTCTTAACATCATGTCAAGTCCTTTAGTCTTTCTGGAAATGCCCTAAATGCCCTTCAAAAATAGCTCTTTTTCAAAAAAATTAAAAACATGGTGTGGGAAACAACCCTTCTAGAAGTACCCTAAATTGCCCTTGAAAAATAGCTGTTTTTGTGCCATAAATTTTATTTTCGGCTCCAAAAACAGGGTCAAAATCGCATTTATAGATATTTTCTGTCGAATAACAGGGTTGAACGTCTTTCCTGATGTTTTCCTTTTTAAACATGGCATTTTCTTTTTGTAACACTCTGTATATTTTCCTCAAATTTCTCAAAATCGACTTCAAAATTGTCATTTCATATTTTATAGTCAAATTGTCGCTAGACTGTGCTAGCTGTACCAAAAGCTTCAGCTCGCCACGTTACTTGTGCATTTAATTTAATTCGGTAATTGGGTTTTTTAATACAATCGGATACCGCCAGTATTTAGTGGTAACAAAGAAAGAGTCATTTTAACCGACGCGCCTTTGCCGCCCCGTAATTAATTTTCATTATTTTTCATGTTCCGTCATGGAAATTAGGTCATATCTCGGGAACGGTTTGCGCTATTGGGGTGCTCATTTTTTGATATTGTAGAAGAAGACTTATTTTAAACGAAACGCATTTGACACCCCCGGATTTCGGCCGGGAACACCCTAAAATTGGCTTCAAAATTAGGTAATTTTCAATATTTTTCATGTTTCGTTGTGGAAATTGGGTCATATCTTGGGAACGGTTTGCGTTATTGGGGTGTTCATTTTTTGTTATTGTAGAAGAAGAGTTGTTTTAAACGAAACGCATTTGACACCCCCGGATTTCGGCCGGGAACACCCTCAAAACTGGCTTCAAAATTAGTAAATTTTCAATATTTTTCATGTTTTGCGGTGGAAATTAGGTCATATCTCGGGAACGGTTTGCTTTATGGGGGGTGTTCATTTTTTGTTATTGTAGAAGAAGAGTTGTTTTAAACGATACGCGTTTGACACCCCCGGATTTCGGCCGGGAACACCCTTAAAACTGGCTTCAAAATTAGTAAATTTTCAATATTTTTCATGTTTTGCCGTGGAAATTGGCTCTTATCTCGAGAACGGTTTGCGTTATTGGGGTGTTCATTTTTTGTTATTGTAGAAGAAGAGTTATTTTAAACGATACGCATTTGACACCTCCGGAATTCGGCCGGGAACACCCTCAAAACTGGCTTCAAAATTAGTAAATTTTCAATATTTTTCATGTTTTGTCGTGGAAATTGGCTCATATCTCGAGAACGGTTTGCGTTATTGGGGTGTTCTTTTTTTGTTATTGTAGAAGAAGAGTCATTTTAAACGATTAGCATTTGACACCTCCGGAATTTGGCCGGGAACACCCTCAAAACTGGTTTCAAAATTAGTAAATTTTCAATATTTTTCATGTTTTGTCGTGGAAATTGGCTCATATCTTGAGAACGGTTTGCGTTATTGGGGTGTTCATTTTTTGTTATTGTAGAAGAAGAGTTATTTTAAACGAAACGCATTTGACACCCCCGGATTTCGTCCGGGAACACCCTTAAAATTGGCTTCAAAATTAGGTAATTTTAAATATTTTTCATGTTTCGTCGTGGAAATTGGGTCATATATCCGGAACGGTTTGCGTTATTGGGGTGTTCATTTTTTGTTATTGTAGAAGAAGAGTTATTTTAAACGAAACGCATTTGACACCCCCGGATTTCGGGCGGGAACACCCTTAAAATTGGCTTCAAAATTAGGTAATTTTCAATATTTTTCATGTTTTGCGGTGGAACATAGGTCATATCTCGGGAACGGTTTGCGTTATTGGGGTGTTCATTTTTTGTTATTGTAGAAGAAGAGTTGTTTTAAACGATACGCGTTTGACACCCCCGGATTTCGGCCGGGAACACCCTTAAAACTGGCTTCAAAATTAGTAAATTTTCAATATTTTTCATGTTTTGCCGTGGAAATTGGCTCATATCTCGAGAACGGTTTGCGTTATTGGGGTGTTCATTTTTTGTTATTGTAGAAGAAGAGTTATTTTAAACGATACGCATTTGACACCTCCGGAATTCGGCCGGGAACACCCTCAAAACTGGCTTCAAAATTAGTAAATTTTCATTATTTTTCATGTCTTGTCGTAGAAATTGGCTCGTATCTCGAGAACGGTTTGCGTTATTGGGGTGTTCTTTTTTTGTTATTGTAGAAGAAGAGTCATTTTAAACGATTAGCATTTGACACCTCCGGAATTTGGCCGGGAACACCCTCAAAACTGGTTTCAAAATTAGTAAATTTTCAATATTTTTCATGTTTTGTCGTGGAAATTGGCTCATATCTTGAGAACGGTTTGCGTTATTGGGGTGTTCATTTTTTGTTATTGTAGAAGAAGAGTTATTTTAAACGAAACGCATTTGACACCCCCGGATATCGTCCGGGAACACCCTTAAAATTGGCTTCAAAATTAGGTAATTTTCAATATTTTTCATGTTTCGTCGTGGAAATTGGGTCATATCTCCGGAACGGTTTGCGTTATTGGGGTGTTCATTTTTTGTTATTGTAGAAGAAGAGGTATTTTAAACGAAACGCATTTGACACCCCCGGATTTCGGGCGGGAACACTCTTAAAATTGGCTTCAAAATTAGGTAATTTTCAATATTTTTCATGTTTTGCGGTGGAAATTAGGTCATATCTCGGGAACGGTTTGCGTTATTGGGGTGTTCATTTTTTGTTATTGTAGAAGAAGAGTTATTTTAAACGAAACTCATTTGACACCCCCGGATTTCGGGTGGGAACACCCTTAAAATTGGCTTCAAAATTAGGTAATTTTCAATATTTTTCATGTTTCGTCGTGGAAATTGGGTCATATCTCGGGAACGGTTTGCGTTATTGGGGTGTTCATTTTTTGTTATTGTAGAAGAAGAGTTATTTTAAACGATACGCATTTGACACCTCCGGAATTCGGCCGGGAACACCCTCAAAACTGGCTTCAAAATTAGTAAATTTTCAATATTTTTTATGTTTTGTCGTGGAAATTGGCTCATATCTCGAGAACGGTTTGCGTTATTGGGGTGTTCTTTTTTTGTTATTGTAGAAGAAGAGTCATTTTAAACGATTAGCATTTGACACCTCCGGAATTTGGCCGGGAACACCCTCAAAACTGGTTTCAAAATTAGTAAATTTTCAATATTTTTCATGTTTTGTCGTGGAAATTGGCTCATATCTCGAGAACGGTTTGCGTTATTGGGGTGTTCTTTTTTTGTTATTGTAGAAGAAGAGTCATTTTAAACGATTAGCATTTGACACCTCCGGAATTTGGCCGGGAACACCCTCAAAACTGGTTTCAAAATTAGTAAATTTTCAATATTTTTCATGTTTCGTCGTGGAAATTGGGTCATATCTCCGGAACGGTTTGCGTTATTGGGGTGTTCATTTTTTGTTATTGTAGAAGAAGAGTTATTTTAAACGAAACGCATTTGACACCCCCGGATTTCGGGCGGGAACACCCTTAAAATTGGCTTCAAAATTAGGTAATTTTCAATATTTTTCATGTTTTGTCGTGGAAATTGGGTCATATCTCGGGAACGGTTTGCGTTATTGGGGTGTTCATTTTTTGTTATTGTAGAAGAAGAGTTGTTTTAAACGATACGCATTTGACACCCCCGGATTACGGCCGGGAACACCCTTAAAACTGGCTTCAAAATTAGTAAATTTTCAATATTTTTCATGTTTTGCCGTGGAAATTGGCTCATATCTCGAGAACGGTTTGCGTTATTGGGGTGTTCATTTTTTGTTATTGTAGAAGAAGAGTTATTTTAAACGATACGCATTTGACACCTCCGGAATTCGACCGGGAACACCCTCAAAACTGGCTTCAAAATTAGTAAATTTTCAATATTTTTCATGTTTTGTCGTGGAAATTGGCTCATATCTCGAGAACGGTTTGCGTTATTGGGGTGTTCTTTTTTTGTTATTGTTGAAGAAGAGTTGTTTTAAACGATACGCATTTGACACCCCAGATTTCGGCCGGGAACACCCTTAAAACTGG